TCCCGGCTAATCGCTTTTTCCCATCGCCTCCACAGCTGGTCATCGACGACGTAACGCTGAACAACTCCGGCGAGAAATTCCTCCAGAACAAGGAGATGTACCCGCCCTACAAGCCCTTCAAGATCGCCCTCACCCCGGACGGCGCCATCACGCATGTGGTCTTCAAGGAGGGCGATCCCATATGGAGCATGAACTTCAAGCGGGCCATCGCCTCGGTCCTGCAGTTCCAGATGAAGTCCAGCGGGGCCTTCGTCGTGGATGAGGTAGGTTTTTACAATTGATTTTTGTAATTTAATCGTAACGTATTTTAAAATAGCCGCCTAAATACTGTGAAGATTTATACAAATCTTTTGATTATATTAAAATCTTCTTATGTTACGATTCTGCAATATAAATTATAATATTTTATTGAAAAGTGCTTTGCTAAATTTTAAATGTATTTGATTATTTAAAAAACACAAATTATTAATAAATAACTCTGCGTTGTAAGAAACTCTTCTTATCTTACCTCAAAAATTGTAAAAGGTTCTGCAATATAATTTTAATTATTATTATTTTGTAATCCCTAAATATGTCTCAAGGTATTTTGTAATATTGCCTTTACTGAAAAGAAAATCTATTTATCACCTAAAATAATATTTGATACAAGACCTTTATTTCCTTGATTATTTGAATAACTTTAACTATTGCAACGAAGAATTTCCTACTGATAACTTTAATTTTTCCCGGAAGCTGGGTATCCACGGCACCTGCCGCACGGAGTACTTCGTGTCCAACCGGACCAACTACATCTCCATCCGCAAGACGCCGGAGCTGAAGACCTGCAAGCCCTACTCGGAGGCGGTGCACATAACCCGGAGCAACGTGCCGCCGAACACGTGTGAGTTCGACCACCAGAAGAGTGTGATCATCGGCAACGAGGCCATTTACGGAATGCTACCGCACAACGAGACGGGCTACTTCCTCAGCATGGCCCACGCCAAGGGCACCACCCTTATCCACACGTTCGAGTCCACGGGGGAGGCGCAGTTCATCAACTCGGAGCTAATGCTGAACTTCATCAACGAGTCGCCCATCGACAACGCCATCGACATTGAGACCTCAATGGCGGCCGAACCGTCCAACCTGGAGCTTCAGCCGCTGGATCCGAACGATCCGACTGGCGGACGAAATCCCCAGCAGCAGGAGACGCTGATTGCCCAGGCGGGCACACTCCTGGACAGCTTGGCCGAGGGCCTCGAGACCACGGAGTTTAAGTTCTCCGAACCCTATGACTCCACGCTCTCCGATGTGATCAAGCTCCTCAGCGAGATGGACTTCGACTCGCTGACAAAACTCTACCGCGAGGTGGACATCGGCACCTCGTACCGCCAGGAGACCATACGCAACATCTTCCACGAAATCATTCCCCGCATTGGCACCAAAGCCTCCGTGTTCCTCACCCATCATCTGGTGATAAACAAGTTGACCAAGCCGCAAGTGGCTGTGCAACTGCTCATACCCATGCCCTTCCACATCTTCGAGCTCTCGGCCGAACTGCTGGAAAAGTGCAATGACTTCTTTAATATCGGACCTGGTCGTCCAGATGTGCGGCAGGCGGCGATTCTTAGCTTTGCCACGCTCATCCACAATGTATATGTGGCCAAGGGCATTGACAAGGACAAGTTCGAGGAATACGTGCAGAAGTACTTCAACGCCTATCTAAGTAAGTGGCCCGAAAAGCTAATAATGTTTATAGATTCTCTACTAACGGCTTAAAATTGCATTACATATAGGACTTCCAAATTTTGTTCTAATTTGCAAAAAAATTTTGTATCTCTTACGGTCATTGTATAAATTATTTAATTTACTTCATTTAATATTTATACCATTTCTTAATAAAGTAAGTTACTCACCTGTTAATATTATAGATTCTCTAAAGACTTTTCCATTAATTCTGAAGAATTCGCGTACAATTTTTTCGCCCACAGTCATCGCATAAATTATATCATTAAAACTTTTTAAAGCCTACGAAGCGACTAAGATATTGATTGCCCCAAACATCAAATTTGTAACTAATCTCCATTCGATTTCTCTGTTGCGGAACAGGCGACCGCGACTTCGACCAGAAGATGCTATACTTGCAGGGCCTGAACAACTTGCAGTTGGGAAACGTGGCCAACTATCTGGAGCCCATCGTTCAGGATCCCAACGAGAACGAGGACCTAAAGTTCCAGGCTGCCTGGACCACTCTGGCCCTGTCAGATAAGCGTGCGGAGCGCATCTACGAGGTCTACTGGCCGATCTTCGAGTCTCGCAACGCCAGCCTGGAGCTGCGCGTGGCCGCGGTTACTCTGCTCTTGATATCGAACCCCACGGCTGCCCGCCTGATCAGCATCCATCGCATCATCCAGAGCGAAACGGACCCGCACATGATCAACTACTACAGGACGACGGTGACGAGCATCTCGGAGACCACGTATCCCTGCTACCAGCACCTGCAAGTCATCCCGCCCACTTACCCCATCCATCCAAGTCTAATGCTCTTGCTTCCAGACGCCGCCTGCTGTCCTACATGCATCGCCATCTGCCCCAGAAACCGGAGTCACGCTACTGGGTCACTGGCAACTACATCTTCGACTATCGCGACTCCAAGTTCGGAATCGGAGCCATGCTGCAGGTCTTCCTTGTGGGCGATCCCAAATCGGACATGCCAGTGGTGGCCTTCTTCAAGTTCGACACCGAGGCTCTGGGCAAGTTCACAGGTCAACTGGCGGTGAGTTGTACTCTAGAAGTTAACAAAAATTATTTGAAATTTTCTTAAAGTGAGACAATTTAATGAATATCAAAAGTTTTGTAAATAAATGTTTGTTTAATTAGTTGTATTAATTAATCTAATGCTATCTAATACCTAAAACTACTAGGAACTTTAGAAACAAGAGGCTTTTCATGAAATATTCCTTTATTGTCTTAATTTTTAATTTCTTTGCCTCTATTGTTTGTTTAGTTAAACTTAAATAAAAGTTTTTGTTATGTGTTATATATTTAAATGGTTATGTTCGACTGGTAATAATTGGAGTGTTATGTTCGGTGGGATTAGATAAACAGACGATAGGGTTTGAGGAAGACCAACTTTAATATTTTCAAGAGAGAGTTTAAATTATTTTTAATATAATAATATCTAAACAACCTCACCCCCTTTCAGCTGTACATCAAGGCGCGTGGCCTGCCAGACACCATCCTGAACAAGATGCAGTCGCGCAATGGCAGCGATCCGTTCACCTTCAAGAGCATCAAGGCGCTGTTGGCCATGCTGCAGGCTCCGATCATCAGCTCGAAGGACCTGCACCTGGAGTTCATTCTGCAGATGGAGGGCAAAACGGTGCTGTCCTACTACCTCAATCAGCGGATGTTCCGGCAGCTGACCTACGACAACAGTGAGTTCCCTTTTTGCTACCAAATCCAATCAGCAGTTCACACAACAATTTGTCCACAGTTCTGGAGCGAATGCAGCAGATTATCCGGACGGACAGCCACATCAACATGCAAACGGTGCGCTGGCCGTTCATGAACCGCTACTCCGTGCCCACCGTGCTGGGCACCTCCTCCGACGTGCTGCTGCAGACCACCGTGCTGACCTCGCTGCGGGGCAACATTACGGAGCAGCGCAGTCCGCCAATCACGAAGCACACGCTGGAGATCGACGCCCGGTACTCGTCGTACGCCTCGGTGCGCAGCCGCAGCTACAATCCGTTCCTGAACCTGGACCACGAGATCAACCGGGAGCAGGGCTTCCTCATCTATATCCCCTTCAGCAGCGAGCTGCATCTGAACGAGAGCGGCAGCAAGTGCCGGCGCTACTCCTTCTCCCGGCCCCAGAACCTGACCAGTGGCCTCTCCTTTAAGTCGCGGGCGGTGACCAAGACCAGGGGACTGATCACCAAGACGGCCACGGTGCCCTTCGAGGAGATCATGCTGCCCGAGAGTCGAAACGATGTGGTGAGTAGTTTTCCCTTGAGGATGAGATCTATGCCAAAACTTGAATAAAAATAATAGTTAACATTAATATTTATTTATAAATTTAATTAAATTTATGGGTACAGTTTTACATATAATATATCAATGAACAGTTTAGAGCAAACATAAATTTGACTTTAGTAATCAAAATAGTAAAAAGCTATCGATCCAAAAAAATTTCCAATTTTTCATATTATTATATATCTCGGGCAGAAATTAATTGGCCACCAAACCACTTTATCAAATCATTTTAATGCTATTAGGATCGAATAAAGCAACATTTTAATAGATTATTAAATTAAAGTTGCCAGTTTTATATACAAAGATTTCATTTTGAACAAAGAAGGATATATTTATGATTTATTGTAATAGTTAAAAGTTAATAAAAACTAACCGATCTATTTCAGGTCCAACTCTTCAGCTACACAATGCCTGATCTGGGCGTACGTCTGGGCATGAGTACTAATCTTCACGAGCTCATCAAGTACAGAGGGATGCTGCTCAAGTCCGAGTTCACAGAAAAGTACCTTCATCGTCGCAAATCCCATGGCATTTTCTAACTAATGATATTTGCAGTGGCTTTTCCGGAAACATGGTGGTCAGCGCCCTAATGTATATATTCGGATTCACCCAGCTTAGCTCAATTCACCTGGGTCACGATCGAAACTTTACCATGCTGATGTACAACGAAAAGGCCACGAGAGTAAGAAATACAATTTAATTGAATATGTGCACTATTCTAACCCCCATTCCATTTAGATTGAGGGAAACTTTTGTGCCGAGGATGTGTTGAAGACTTCAGATCTGAAGGGCAAGCAAATTGGTCTAACGCTGGAGCACACAGACCACTTGGATGCCGGGGATGGGGCACACCAGGTGGACGCTCTCCACCGATGGAACATCACCCTAGATGTGCAGGCTTCGACCAAGTCCAACTGGTTCAAGTTGATCGGTCAAATCCAGCGAAATTCTAAGGATGACGAGGAGGACTGGAAGGTGAGTGATTGGCTTCGACTACGGGACAAATTTATTCAACCAAAGATGCTCCTGTTTTTCTACTGTTTGTCTGTACTTGATACGGATATGGATATGTATGGGATATGGGATATGGATATGTTCAGATTGTCTCTAGCCCTCCTGTCCGGCTATTTCGAGCTCTTCCTCGGCGTTGATTAGGGCCACAACGCCATCCTGCAGGGTTTTGACCAGTTCGAACTCGGTGAAACCGAGCTTCCGCTTATTGGATATGTCCATGAGACCATCCTCCACGGTGGCCAGTTCGCCGCCATCGGTGCTGCGCACCTGGAGCTGCAGCTCTTCGGCGAGGGCGATCAGACGGTCGGGATCCTTGCTGAGCAGCGGCAAGCGGATGTGGACCGAGGCACGCAGGGTGGTGCCCAGATTGGTGGGACAAGCCGTTAGGTTTCCGTAGCGCGGATGACGCGCAAAGGTCAGCGTCTTCTCCAGTTCGGCGAGTCCGTTCACCAGACGATTGTAGACATCGCCCAAGTCGCCGCACTTCGCCATTGACATAATGTGGACGTGGTCCTGACGATTCACCCAGATCAAGAAGGTCTCGGCGGGATTGTGATAGACACCGCGACCCGTCGGCCAGAAGCGATAGCAGCCGGCGGTGGTCAGCTGCTCATCGCCGCGCTGAAAGAGTATGTGCCGCTTGACCATCTCGGCCTGGGTCTCGGCATCGATGTCCGCCATCGTCAGGTAGGAGCCGATTAACTCGCCATCCATCGTCTCCGTGGCCGCACGCACCTTCTCCTCCACCTCTATGAACTGCTTCTCGCTGAGTTTCGGGAAGAACGGCAGACCCTCTATGTTGCGGGCCAGTCGGATGCGCGCCGACATGATGTACTTGCGCTCCGGGTCTAGATTCTCGATCTCGTCCACATTGCCAAAGTCCGGATCCTTCTGCAGCACATCGTTCTCGTTGTCCATCTGACCGTGGTAGTCCTTGATGATGGGGTCGAAGAGCTTGTTGAACACGTCGTAGCTGTCCGCATCGGCAGCGTATATGCCCACGGGCGCCTCGTGGTGCTCGAACCCGGCCACGGCGCAGTCGTATAGGTAGGCATCCACTGGCGCCGGCGTGGTGACCAGCATGAACTCCTCCAGCAGCTCCGGCGTGAGGTACTTGCGCAGCAGTGAGTTGACATTCTCCTCATCGTCCATGAGCGATTTGTAGCCAGCGGTGGTGAGCTCCTGGTACTCCTCCGGTGACTTTTTGCTGTGGCGTACAAACAGACCGTAATAAGTCTACGATTGAATGAGGTACTCCTCCACTTACATTTGACCGCGCAGCCGCTCAAGCTCCTGCTCCAATTTGGAGATGTGCGTCTTGGCCTCCTCCAGGTCGTTCTTCATCACGTCGTACTGGGCATCGTCGGGGCAACTCTCGCACATGAACTTGCGCACAAAGCGGATGGCATCCTCCGGCTTGTTCTGCTCCTCGTACAGCTTGATCAGGGCCTTGCTCAGGGCATCGATGACCCCAGCCCGCTCCAGATACTTCCGATATTGCACGCGTTTCGATTCGATCTGTGGAACAAACGGAAGATCTCTTCAGATTCGCTGATTCACTCTGATGCATTCGAATTGCCTTACCGAAGTCATTTTGCAGTTTGTCCGTGGGGAAATTCAAGTAAACATAAATTTATAAACACAACACAAAGTGATTGCTCTCGATGGCGGGACCGAAAATAATTCGACAGCACTTGGCTTCTTTTTTTACCGATTTTTTTTAACGCGTTCTTAAAAAATAGAAGAAAAATTGAAATTTTTTCCCAAAAATGTGCGACGGGAGTAATTCGTCCGAACAGTAGCGTAACTGACTGCCTTCTACTGAGCTCCCCCGGAATCGTATTGATCAAACGAGCCGACGTGCGCCGCCAGGCCTGCCTGTCTGCCTTGCTGCCTTCCAGTAGTCCGAGACCGGAACGCAAACAACCCACGAATGTGGGCCAACTGCTCGAGTGGATGCACGGGTGGGTGCACGGGCCGTGCAATAAAGTGGCACGCAGGCACGGACGCATGGGGGCGGCACAGTCAGTCAGGATGTGTGTAGTTGTGTAGGCCCACTAATCGTTGCCGCCGTTGTTGTGGCTCTGTTGTCTGTAGTTTCGTCATGGTAATGTGTCTCCTTCCTGCGGCTGACAGCCCCACTTATTAGCTGAATGTCTAGTATCTTGGCCAGCAATGTAGCCACAATGAGCTTACAGGGTGTCACGCCCACTACTTGACTCAAGCCGACACTCAGGTCGACTGTTGACTTGCTAACTCTTTATACAGGTCACACAATAGTCATACGCATAATGATAACAGTTAATTTGTAGGAAAGTTATAAAAGTTATATTAAAGTCAAGCTCGAAATCTCCATATTTCGAATTACAATCTGAAAGTTATAAAACGAAATCTCCATATTTCAAATTAAAATCCCTGATTTTTAATAAGGTTAACCGTTATACACATATAAATATTCATTTATATTAGATTTAGTATTTTTAATAACCTTCAGTTTGTCAAGTAAACGTTTTGGGCACACTTACCGCTATTGCCGCTACTGTATATTCCAACTCATTGGCATTATTTCCTCAGGCCTGCACCAAGTTGACCTATGAACCGTTGGTGTTCACCAAACGACCCCACACCCTGAACGGCAATGTGGTATTCGGCCTGGCCTCGGAGGAGAGCGAGTGCCCGGAGAAGGGCTCTACGGTGCAGTTTGCAGCCCGAGCTGGTGTAAGTGTGAATGTTGAATGCTGACAACGAAGCGGTTTCCATTGAGATACAACATTTTATCCCGTTACAGCCCTCGGAGCACGCCCGTGCCTTCCTGCGCTCCGACAAGATCTCGCTGACGGACACCGACTTGTGTCCCAAGGAAGTGCTCAAGTTCTCGCCCATTCCCACGTCCAAGTATTGCAGGCGCAGCAACTTTGAGAACTTCACATCGATCACACAGTATGACATGGACCTGAAGTTCAATAATGTAAGAGAACATTATGTGGTTAGGGCACATTTTGAGCATTTTGAGTTGACTCACCCTGATCTCCCATAGATGCCCGCCTGGTTCGAGCTGTGGTCCAACCGACTGGACCACCTGGTCTCCGCCTTGTCCGCCGACAAGGTGGACAGTCTGCATATGAGCCAGGAGATCAACATCTCCATGCACACGCCGCAGGACCAATTCAGGCTCGCGGTGGAAGTGAACGGAGCCAAGTGGCGCTTCCACCAGATCCCTTTCTTGTACAAATTGGACTCCAAGTTCGACGCCTCGCACGAGCTCAGCTACGATGCGGGCCTCAAACGTTCCTGCTCGGTAATCAATGGCATGATCAACACCTTCGACGACTACTTAATCAATCTCAGAGAGATGGCGGTGCGTGCCGATTGCCTCACCCTCCTGGTGGCCGACTGTTCGCCGCTGCCGCAGATGGCCGTCTTCGTTACGCCATCGCCTGTCCAAGGAGAAGGCAGCAACTACGGATTACGCGTCCATATCGGGCAGAACTACTTCAACTTCCACTCCCGCACGGACAACAGAAGCCAGCCTTCGGACGAGCCGGTGTTCATATATCTAAACCAGGACCAGGTGCCGCACGATGTGCGCCAGAAGCCGTATCAGTGGCCCCTCGAGACTAGCGACTACGATTTCCGGTAAGGCATAAACAAAGTTAGTCAAATTAAGTGTTGTAAACCTTTTCCGTTGTCATTCGCTTAGCGTGGAACTGAACGAGCAAAACATTCTGATTGTGGAGTGCACGCAGCTGGTTTCCACCATCCAATTCGACCTGTACAACATCCTCAACTTCGAGATCTACGGCGTGTACAAGCACCAGATGTGCGGACTGTGCAGCAGGCCCCTCAATCTCATGCAGAACTATACGATTTGCGAGGCGGAAGCCAGCACTCCAACGCCCGTTCCCTTGCAGAATTCCACCAATGTAGTTGTAGTCGCATAAGCATAATGTGTGAGTTTAATCTAAAATAAAAAAGAAATGGAGCCCAGTGGAGGGAGAACATGCAAATCCCAGGGCTTGTACTATTATTTGTTTTCTTCAATGGTTAATGTTTGGTAATATTTACCTAGTCTGCCGGTGGAACTTGAAGATTGTGTCCTAAATAATAAGCTGAATTTGTTGCAACTGTCTTAAGTTTGAATAACGAGAATATATTTAACTGAGGTTACAAATTGTAGTTATATAGAGCAACGAGATCTTTCAAAAAAAACATAGAAAAAGGTAGTTAATTATAATTATTGTGATCAATTCGTTTGGTTTCTGTTTCCTGTACAGATGATTGAAAAGTAAAGAACAACATTTCATAAATCAAAAGGTAACTGGGCAGAGAAATGATAATTTTCAAAAAAGAATTTAATACCAGTGTCTTTCAAATGTCAATTAGCTTCTTTTTAGCTTAGTTAAGCTAGAAAGGAACTCATAAACATTTGAAAGACACTAATCTTAAATTCTTTTCTTTTCGTTATTGTCAATCTTAAGAAGACACGTATTTTTATTCCTTGCGGTAGTCAATTTGCTTTTCGCGATCGCGATGCAATTGGGTGAGAAGATGCATCCGTAGCTGGGGAACTGATTCCAAGGACTGGTTGCACAGTTTGCATGTCATTGGAGCAAAGACTCCCTGACTAAAATAAGAAACAAAATTATAATTTAGGCAGTGCTTTCGTCAACATATTTGACATCTTACAAGTTGCGCCATTTGTACAACTCGTTGCAGCTCTGCACCAATTGCAGCACATGGCCGACATTCTCCTCCTGGAGCTCTGGAACAGAGTGCATGGGGAATATGGCCCGCTTGCCGAACGGCTCAGCCTGCTTTGGCTGATCGTCGCTCTCGTCCCAAAGGTAATCCGAGCTGCTCGAGCTAAGTTCGATGTAACTACGATCCTTGGTCAGAAGGCTTTGAAATAAACAAAAGTTATATCAGTTGACAAATACAAAATGTCTGGTTGCAGCAATCTTACCGATTGATGAGTTTGCGCAGATGGGCGAATATAGAACCACGTTCGTTAACACTAACCACTGGGTAATTCTCGTCCTTAAAGTTGAAAAAGACGCTATCGATATAATAGCGCATTTGATTGATCTAAAATATAGTTAGTTATTGCTTAGTTATATGTAGCTTAGACTCTCTCTTACCAGGTTCAAATCATCTTCGAGAATGTTAACGTCCAAATTGATCACCATATCGTGCTCCTCGAAATAGGGTTCCTTGGTTACTGGGTCGCAACCCAAGCCGGCCAAGATAGACACATACTTGGTGCAATTTTTGTTGCATTTGATCTGCATGGTGGGGCAGAAGAGCATGACCATTAGTGCTCCAAAACCGTGTACGTTGGGCATCAGTGTAGTTCCACGGGCGGTCAGGGCCTGTCCATTGGCAGTCTCCACGGTGGTGTGGGCCACAATCATCTGATCGTGTTGATCCTGCGGATCCGCATCCAGGAGCACCGCATTGACCGACGCACAATCAATTTTCACAGTCTTCCACATGCCCACACGAATGGTGGAGTACATGGTGGACTCCAGCGGACTGTAGGGTCCCTTTAGCATCACCACAGTGTTGCATCTATCCAGTGGTGGTGGTGAAAGATCGTGGTCTTGGGGCAGCTGGCAGTAGCGGAGGTACTCCTCGTTGTTTTGCTGCCGCTCCGCCGGACTCAAGTAGCGGTCAGACTCTTGTCTGCTGGTCCGAAAGTCATGATCCTTCCGCGACATGAAATCTTCGTCGGCCCGACGGGCCAGCTGAAGCTCCACCAGCTTCTCATTGATTAGGCCATCGCGCATGCGGATGAGAACAGCTGCCACGTTGTTGAACAGCGAGTACACCTCGATCTCGATGCGACCGCATTTGGCCAGCGAATGGAGCATATCATTGGCCTTCTTGGGCCAACTCTGACTGATTGCCATGGACGGCTGAACCAGCGCCAGCCTGCACTCAAACACACGTGGTGGCAGGTCGCCGAACTGCCCTACCAGCTCATCCGGCATCAGGCGAAGCTGCTCCATGGGCATCAAGAGGCAGTCTCCATAGTCGATGAAGCGCACATAAAACATCGGCTGACGATTGCTGCGGTTCTCGGGTCGGATCACTGTGGCGCGCTGGAAATGGCTGTCCCGTTTGGCCAACACCATCAGGCCCTTTGTGATGGCACCTGCATTTAATACATGATTTCGCAGCTGCTGCGGAGCATTGAAGATCTCCGACATGTTGCGAATGCACTCGGCAAATGATTGGGGTTGGAAGTAGAACTTGCCACAGCTGACTATCTGTAAAAGTCGGAAACGAAATTGTAGATACAACAAGTTCAGTTGTTAACCCACTTACGCAAGTAATCAACCCGGTAATGGTCTTGTCATAGACCGATGGTAAGGCAAGGAGCTCCACGTTTGTGGACTTTGTGGGTGGAATCCAACGACCCTCGATCACATCTCCAATCTTTCGCTGCTGGACGTAGTTCATAAAGTTGTGTTGACTAAAAGGTTTCGAATTGAAAGCACAATGAGTAACTAGCATTGGTAATGCAAAGTACAAGCCACTCACTCCATCATACGAATTGGGCGCTGCAAGCGTTCAATTCTCATTCTGACCGCCTTGTAGACTTCACTTTTGATTCTGCCCGGCACACTGACAAGCTTGGATGAGTCTTCATTGCAATCGTCGTGCTTGAAGGTGACAAAAACCTTTTGCGAACCGGGTTGAAAGGTAACATCGATGTTTTCGGGTGGGATCTTTGCCTCCAGAAAGAGATCTTTGATGCGTCTAGTGTACAACTCGCCCATGTACCCGGGCTTAAAGTTGGTAAAATAGACAGTGCGACACGGATCGTGCCCAGATATCACCTGGTACGCATCGCGATCAGGTTCCACACACGACCCCTTCGAGCGCATAAAATAATTCGGATAGAAAGCACCGGCGATGATCACTTTGAGGATCGTCACTTTCTCACGGTCACCCAAAATCTGTGTAGGATCAGCTGGAAACGGGACCAGACCGAGAATCGAGCATCGCGTACGAAGCTCCTGGACCAGCAGGTGCATCTCCTTTAGCGATCGCAGGGAGACGTGCAAACGTTTCGCCCAGCGTTGAGCAGACTCGTCTTCGTGGCCAATTTCGACCATGTTCAGATATGTCTGTCGCAAGCAGCAATATTTAGTTGAAACCTGTATGATTGCATTTAAATACGTACCAAGTAAACGCGCCAAATTGCCACCAAGTCGGAGCCAGACCCATCGGCGAAAATGTAATGCATCCAAAATGAATCGCATCCTTGGCTCCTGCGACCTTCGTCCAAGTACAAGCCACGAATCGATAAGCCAGCAGCTGCGAAGTGTTGTTAATACAATTAAAAACCTTATTGGCATTTTGTTGGCCAATATATCATGTCTTATTTGTCTTGATCACCTAATAAAGTAAAATAAATAACTATCTTTGCCACTTCAATGAACTCTTACCTACTTCTAACCTTAAACTACTAGGTTTAACAAAGTAGCGTTTCGAAAACTTTTTCCATTAAATTCGAAATCATTATTTTATACTTACATATGATTATCGCCTCCTCGAGTAGGTTAAATACATAGCCCAATATAATGAGACGACTCAAGCGTGTGTCCAACGGCAAACGAGACATGATTGTGCCCCAGAAGGTAATATCGCCATCCATCTCGTTGTAGACGCCATCCACAGTCGGGAACAGTGCACCCACCTCCTTCAGCAGCAGTACTGTGTTCTGTATGTCCGAGAGATTGGGCGGAGACAGAGCCAAGGCCAGTATCTCTACCGGAGAGCCCATTTCCAACTCCTTGGCCCTAAGCACCGAGCTGTGCAAGGGCAGGCGCAGCATTTCTGGTACCCCAAACTCAGACATTTCTCTCTGGTAAAAGGATTTGTTGACCATCCGGTAGACACGACCACTCCGGAGACGACCCACACGGCCGGCACGCTGGCGACAGTTGGCCTTGGAGGCCCAGCACAGGCGAAGTGAGGTGAAGCTGCTGGCCGAATCGGTGACCAGCACTTTGGTCAGGCAGAAATCAATTACATAGGACACATCTGGCACCGTAATGGAGCTCTCAGCGATGTTGGTAGTGAGGATGATCTTACGAAAACCTGCAGGCGGTGGCAGGAACACATCCCGTTGATTCTCCGGGGTCATTAGCGAGAAGCAGCGTACAATGAAAACCTTAATGTTTTGGCTGCAATGGAAACATGAAAGAAATCTTAATTTATTTCAAATTGCTGACTTACTCATTCTGCAACATATTATTAATGTTTTCCTCCATGTTGGCAATCTCGAAGACGCCGGGCAGGAAGATGAGTACGGCTCCATGGCGCAGGGCCTCGTCGTAGCTAGGCCGGGACTGGATCCCGACCTCCCGTTCCATGTTGTCGATGACCATGATGATCTTCACCGCCGCCCTGTAGCCGTCGTCGGTGATGCGTGGCACGAACTGATCGTCCACCTCCTCCTTCCACTTAACTCTGTTCAGCTGGTCGCGGTAAAACTTCTCAATCGTGTACTTACGCCCATGACTGGCGCTGATCACCGGCGGAATCAAGTTTTGCGTTGTAAAATAGTCGGCCAGCTCCCGGGCATCGATCGTGGCCGACATCAGGATGATCTTCACGTGGCGCGAGTTAGTGGCCAACAGGCGACGGACAACAATTAGCAAAAAGTCCATGTCCTGGTCCCGCTCGTGCACCTCGTCCAGCACGATGTGGGTGTAGTGTGTTAGAGTCTTGTTGTGTATCAGATTGTTCAGCAGGATTCCGGTGGTGCAGTACAGCAGGCGGGTTTCATCCAGACTCACCGGACGGTGCAGACCCACCTGATAGTTGCACACCGTGTTCGGCTGCCATTGGCGCTCCTGGCACACTCTGTTAGCTATGGAGATGGCAGCTATGCGACGGGGCTGGGTCACCACGATGTTGCAGTATTGGCCGCTTTTAAAGCCCTCGTCCAAAATGTACTGGGGCACCTGGCAGGAAATAAATTCAATTCAGAATTAGATTTACTAACGAGGATGAATAAGAAACGGTTTTATTTGTGCATCAATAAACTAAATAAACTAAAGCTTATGAAGCAAAGTGCGCAATATTTAAAAAATTGTTAATATTTGTTTAAATAATACATCCATACTAATAATAATCATCTCAACTTTTCCAAAAAATCAAAATCTTCCTATTCGACATTTTTTGTTCACGGCGGCTTTTGATAATTGATTATTATTATTTTTAATTTTAAATTAATCACAACGCTATAATTTTAAATAAAAAATATATTTGGACTTATTTTGATTTTTAGCAATACAGATTTAACGGAATTTGTTTAAAAAGTTTTTAGCACTGTTATCGATTTGTCGATAGATTCCAACAGTGTTGTTAAACATTTGAACCGGCGAACCGAGTCGGTTTGTTTACATTTTCGGAGTGTGTGGGAATGGGCACAAAGTTGGCGTCAATAAAGACCCGCAATGGAGCTTAATATCTTCGACGACTGCTGGGAGTTGATGCACCGGTTCCAGCGACTGGTCAACGAAGGCGAGAACTGCGAATTCGAGGTGTTTTGCCGGTGCTGGCGGGAAATGCAGCTGCAGCACCTCTTCTCCGGCCAGTCAAACCACACTGAGGTGATAGCCACCACTCTGACGGCGCTGCACGTGGCCAAACGGCTGTCATGCTCCCGCCGCACCAACGGGGACCTCTTCGCCGCCTCCCGCTCCCAGAGGATTGCCGGATTTTATTTGCTCTACGTGATTTACAACAAGCAGCCCACCCTAAACTTCGTGAAGATCGAGGTCTCACCTCGCACCTGGCAGGAGCTAACCAACTATGTGCTGCAGCTGCGCAATGACAGCCCGGAGAGGAAGGACACCCAGCAGGTGGCCTACATGTTTTGGCGCCTCGTCCAGGAGCAGGCCTTCCGGTTCACAGCGCTCGACTACTGCCAGGGATTGGACAATTTGGTGGACTACGACCGGCTGGAGACTGTAGCGGGTGCAAAGCGACAAAGACAGAGTGCATTGATGCTGAAACAACAGCGACCCAACAATGTCAGCCTCTCCTATGAACTGGAGGGCCTGCAATCACTGGACCTGGCCAGTCGGCCATTGTGTGATCTGGAGTCAGCCTATAATGCACAAAAGTTGCAACTGGCGGGTCAGCAGCAGGCTCTGCCGCCCACTCAAATTTTTGGCCAACTGCGCGAAGTCTTTGCAGACATTCAAAAGATACTGGGAAACAACAAAAATCCCGAGGATGAGGAGCAGCCCACAACTTCTGCAAGCAACCAGTTAGAGGTGCGACAAAAAGTGCGAAACAAGGCCATGTACGGCATGGAGGAAAGGGGGCCGCAGCACCAGCCGGAGGAACTCGAAGTGGAGCTGGAGGTCAACGAATCGTATCAACGGAGAATGTCTTCGGCTACTGTGTTTCAACAGCCATTATCCGAGGATGTACAGCGGGAATATCAGATCTATGATTACAGTGACGACGATGAAGACGAGGAGGAAGAAAGCGAGGTCACAGAGGAAGATGTCCAGGAACTACTAGGCTCTTAAGCTTCAGTAAATAACGATGAAATACGGAATAATGAATTTAATTTTAGCTTAAAAATAAAATATTTTTAAATAATTGGTCTATTGGTTTTTTTTTTTCTAAAAAGCTAGCCTTGACAGAAGCTCAATTATTTTTAATATTAAAGGATTGGTTACAAGACAAATTAACTTAAAAATTTAGCTTAATCATTTGAGATCACAAAGAATAAATTAGCTAAAATGTCGAAGTGTTCGAAAAAACAAGGACAACAATCACCGTAAATCCAGTTTATATTTTTATTAATTATAGCCTAGTTCAAAGAATGTAGGTTATTCAGTGACGCTAATCAATCAAGGAACTCTTATTCAACAGTTTGGCAGTCTGACTCTTCCCCGTTGTTATAAATTACATAAAAAAAATTTTTTTTTGAAAAGACTTTTCAAAAAGCTTTGTGGAATATGGCTGAAGTCTCACTTGGTTCTGCAGAATCTTTACTACCGCTTTAGCAAATGCGCTCTTTCGCTTTTGCAAATTTCTGTAACATATTTAAAGAAACATAACATATTTAAAAAAAAACAAAATTTGTCAAAAATCAACTAACTTTCTTCAAAGCAAAACAATATATGTGCCTCTTATTTACCTCCATAACTGGAGTCTACTTAAACATAACCTATACAACTTTTGGTTGGCAACTTTTCAGAAAACTGCAGAAAACGTGGCAACGCTCACCTGCGTGGTCTTGCCGCATCCTGTTTCGCCCTTGAGAATTACGACCGGATATGCATTTATGGCCGACAGGATTTCCTCCCGTTTAGCATAGATAGGCAAACTCTTATCGCGGTTTAGATTGAATCTGTATTTTTTGTAGTACTCGTCATCCCGACGGATTTCGGACCCGTCCTCCTTCTCATCGTCTGAATCCATTTCGTCCATGTCGTTCATCGTTCGATTGCGATTATTCAGAAGGCATTCCTTGGCATTCTGTATCAGATGGCAAGTAAATAAACAAAAACGCTGACACAGACTTTAATTTCTTACCCCGTTGAGGCGAAGCTTTTCCGTCGCTACGATGTCAGCGACATAGCCGGTGCCGACTACCTCGCGCTTTACCACCTTAGATTCCGTGGCTTCCACGGCCATTTTGCTCGGATCACTGCTAATGTAGCCCTTTGGGGCTAACTCGCGCTTACATTCCTTTGAGAAGTCGAAGAAATCCATCACTTCATCCATTATTTATATTTTTCTTAGCAAAACACTTCGGACCAAAAATTCACAATCCCGCGTCGTGTCTAAAATTAAACGGTAAATTGTAGTGGTGGGACTTTTGGCCTTAAAGGTGGCATATACTGAAGTCGATTTGTATCGATATACCATATCGCCATTGGTGTTGAAAGCTTTTTATTAAAGGTATTCCCGACACCAATACAATGCCACGAAACTATTTTTCATTAATTATTGTTCTCTACTAAACGGATTAAAACATTCAGCTAAGATATATCTAATGCAATAGCTGTGCATTTTCATTCCTTGTGATCTTAAACAATCGTCCTGCAAAACAAATAAAATTCTTAAAAATAACAAAAATGTGAAAGAACTAAAGTTAGAGAAATCGCAAAAAATAAAAGAGGTTTTATTATATTATTTAATTTAAGTTTAAATTTATTTTAAACAAAAAACGACTTAGGATATCGGTATATATTATATCGATTTATATCTTGGAAAACATTGAGAGTATCGATGTTTGCCCAGCTCTAACTTGTTCGGAGAAATTCAATAGCAAAACAATCTTTTTGGCAATTTTAGTTTAATTGGGCCGCAAACATGTCGCTTACTATGCGAATTTTCACCGCATCGCGCACTGGTAGGTGTCTAACAAGCGTCTTAGCTCTAGCCCTCCGAAAATTCCAAAATTTCCCTTGAAATACCGTCGAGTGAGGTTATGTAAGCTTATGTCATAGCAAAACAAAGGCCAAAATGGACTAATTTGAGGATTCTTATTGCAAATAAGACTGTGATTTAATGGTATAATGTGTCCCCCATAGGTCAGCGCATGTTTGGCAGCCAGGGAGCCCGCCTGCTGGCCGCCCAGCGAACAGAACCCAAAGACATCGTAGAGGTTCCCAAGGGATATGTGTATGTAAACAACAAGGAACTGAGCATGGAATTCGCAGACATCACCGACCGGGCTGCGTCTACCATGTTCTTTGGCGAACTCTTCCGCGGATTCGCCGTCACCCTGGCCCACATCTTCAAGGAGCCGGCCACGATCAACTACCCGTTCGAAAAGGGACCGCTGAGTCCGCGATTCCGTGGCGAACATGCCCTTCGGCGTTATCCCAGCGGCGAGGAGCGGTGCATCGCCTGCAAACTATGCGAGGCCATCTGTCCCGCCCAGGCGATCACCATCGAGGCGGAGGAGCGGGCGGACGGCAGCAGACGCACCACTCGCTACGATATTGACATGACCAAGTGCATCTACTGTGGATTCTGTCAGGTGACGAATCGCTAGCTCCTGTAATCAGCCAGTTGTCACTTATTGCTATTACTTACCAACCCACAGGAGGCCTGTCCCGTAGACGCCATCGTCGAGGGGCCCAACTTCGAATTCTCCACGGAGACGCACGAGGAGCTGCTCTACAACAAGGAGAAGCTGCTCTGCAACGGCGACAAGTGGGAGTCCGAGATCGCCTCCAACTTGCAGGCCGATCATCTCTATCGTTAAAGTTGCTTGTACCCCTTAGAATTCCTTGTTTAGAACGATTTCCCAATTAAAGATCGTTGCTGTGGCTACGTCTTAAGCGATTGCCTTGTTGTGAAGTGATATGCCAAAGAAAAGGTGAAATTCAGGTGATTTATTTATTGATAAGTCAAACATACATACATATAGGCGGTAGAAATTAATAACAAGCTGCAATAATACACATTAAAAGAAATTTTGTTCTTGTCGAGCAGACACCGTTGAAAATCAAAAGGCTTGAGACTATCAATCTGTTTAGTAGGGAATTAAGTTTATTTAATAAACTGAACAAAAACTTACAGAATATTTTTTAGTTTTTTTTTTTGTATTTTTCCTATTTTGATTATGATGAGTATACCTCGGATATAGCATATTTCCTTCTTTTGTTATTATTAACGAGTTTTGGCTTTAACTTCTAGTTATTGGGAAAAATGCCCGTATTCCTTAGATAACTTTACTATTTTTTTAAACGAAAAAGCTTAGGGATTTAAATAATTAAAGTGACAATTTGGCAGTGACACTAAAAAAAATTTCAAAGGGTTTTCGTCGGTCATAAATGAAAAACATTAATTTTTTTTTTGGCCAATTTTGGATAATGCTTTTTATTGTCCAGGCCCAGCCAGGCTCTTCTCCATAAATTTCTTCTTGGCAAAACAGGTCCACCATTTGTTGGGCTTGCCATCCTCGGTGCTAAAGACCTTTTCCAACACCCTGTTGCCGGTTTCGTGGCGCAGCTGTAGGAGGTACTGGCGCATTAGGTCCGCATCCTGGACGCTCTGCGGCTTGGCATAGACGGCGTTCAAGGGAAAACCGGCATCGCCAGGAATGTCGAACTTGGAGATGGCCAGACTGTACATGTCCTGCTGTCCCTGAGCCTTGCTTGTGGAGCGGTTTAGCTTCTTTAGGCACTCGGTTATGTAGAGCGTCACATAAATAAGGACACGATCTACATCGGACTGTAACAAATTACAAATAAGCCATCATTAATCAATTGAGTTGATGTAAAAGCAAGTAAATTGAAAAAAAAAAACTCAGAAGAAAACATTTATAGGGATTGTAATAAGATAAGACCTATGAGTGAGTTAGCAATCCTTTTTACTATCCCACGTTTGACCATAAAGTCCTTAAAAGAGAGCACCTTATTTAGTTTTATTATGATCGGGTGTGCCTTAAAAAATATGACTCGTTACAGACCTCTGGTCCCTATGCAACACATATGTATGTAAGTTAAGAAAAACAGAATTTCCTGGATCTTAGTCAAGGCTAAACATTAAACAGCCCGATTAATCCGTTGCCCAGACTTCAGGCTCACCTTGATTTCGTATGTGCGAAAGAAGACATTCGCTTTGAAGTAGTACAGTGACTCATCGATGATGTCGTTCTCCACATTTGCACTGGGCGCTGGTCCGCGCACCTGTGTCCGCAGCGGTAAGATGGCCAGGTTACCCACCTGCTGGCGCACTTCCTTGATCTGCGAGTGGTAGGCCTGCAAAAATTGAACAATAAAAAATATATTCATTTCTCCCAAAAGTGCTACCTGGCAGGGGGTCACAAAAGCCGATATCTCACCGCAAATCTGCCTCTAGTATGGAAAACCTACTCACCGGCATAATAGTGGTTAGTAGTAAGTTATAATTATCCGGCTTGAATAAAATTGTTAATGTTATGGTTGTTTTCAGATAAAAAATAATTTGTAGGCGTCTTCTTTTTACGATTTTGCCATCCCTGAATTATCGATAGCTTAGAAGGCTCAATCCTAAGTTAAGTATTTTTGAAGTCACATGGTCACACTTTATTCAATGGGCGCCAGTTATGAAAAAATAGTACAAAACATTATAAAAAATGAAGTGCATTACAGTTGCACTACAGTTGCATATAATTATTATTTGGAATTATTTGCGAAATATCTGTCTTGTTAATTTTCTTTTGTTAATGTTTGCTTACCTAGATTTAAAAAAGCCTCAAAATAACTAAAAAATCGCCTTAAATGTCAGAGCTTAAGCATCGATCGTTCGACAAACCCAATTTACGAAAAAAAGCTTCAAATTTTCGATGTGTGTGCGTGTCTCAATAAAGAATTAGTTTTGGATCTCGCTCTATATGGAACAGAATAAAATTTTCCTGCAGAACGTGGCCAATATCCCTGGCCAACTGAATCTCAGGCAACTGGAAATATCTACCATGGCCTACAAGCGTTTGTGCGTGGAACTGGAGTCACTGACCAGTACTCCAGCTCCACCACTGGCTCCCGTGGCCACTCAGGGATTGCGAGCAAGTGCCTCGGAGTTTGTGCCACAAGTGCCTCTCAACAGCGATCGCATACCGACCGACTTGGAGGATGAACAGGATGAGTACTCGGATGACGATGGATATGACGTGGAGCGAACCATGACAGCTGTAAGTAAAAATATATTTTTAACTTTAAATTAATATCAAAAACTACGCCTTAATGTCCTTTAATGTTCAATTAACTTTAAAAAATATACGATTATATATCGCCACCATAAAAAATTTTTTAAATTTTTGTTATTAGGATTAAGTTTAAGAATTCAAATTTTGCAAAATCTTAAATCTTTGCATGATAATCCCTTTTTACTTATTGCCTTTTTAAAATATATATATTTTTTTGGTCATCCCTAAATTCGTTTCCTCAGCCCAAGCCCTCAATCTATGGTCCTCGGTTCAATAATCACCACTTTGAGTCCGATGGTGTGTCCGAGAGCCACTTGGAAGTGGAGAGGAAGAGGAAGTTCGGCTATAGGGCTCCCAAATTTCGACCAAACCAGCCAACAGGGCGGTCGCAGAAGACGGAAACGAGCTCCATTCCCACGGCGAAGCCTCCCAATGAACTGGCCAACGGACAGCCGCACTTCAAGGGGCCCTACATGCCGCTCCTACAGCACCGCATTGCCAATGCAGAGGCATACGGACTCATCCGGGCTCCCAACGAACGGAGCAGCATGCTGCTCGAGGACATGGTCAAGCAGCTGGCCCGCCTGGACAAGTGCCCCTTCAACCTCAACTCGCTCTTTCGGGGCAGAGGTCCACCGAACCCCGCATCCTAGATGACATACTATAGTATTTAAAATTGTAAGAATTTCCTGATTAAAGAAGGCGCTGACTTTGTGGTCGATCTGCTATTCCGACTTTTAGTTGTCGAATATACATATTCGCAAGCGTTTTAAGCTCCGACAAAATGGGGAAAAAATATAAATCCAAAACGGATAAAATCAAAAAGAAAGTGCCTGTCGTAAGTTTCAAAATTTAAACGTGGCTCGTTATGAACCATTTCCTTTTTAGATTGAAGCTAAAAAAGCACCTGAAACTTCTCTTGTCGCGGAACCGAAATGCCCAGAACCCAAGGATCCTCCTTGTAAGATAAGCATGGAGGTGGCTAAGAAGCACGAGGACCAAATGTCCGCTCTGGCCTCCATGCCTCAGCGTTTGGACCAGAAAATCCAGCGCATCAAGGCTGTGCAGCAGCAATTCTCCAAGCTGCACCTGCAGCAGTTGGTCCTCCTCGACGATTGCATTGAATTCCTTCAGGAACTTAACGCGGTTCAACCCGGCAACGTCCTCGAGCAGAAGATATTCCTGGACACTTTTGTCGAGGTCAACGCCAAGCTATCGGAGGTATTCGAGAACATTCTGCCTGCTCAATTGGAAATGCTGAGGAACGAACCTAAGATATTGCATTTATCCAACCAGTTATCCAAATAATTTGCTACTTTGAGTTATTTAAAAATGCAGAATAAACGAAGAATTATCATATAAAAATAATTATTGAAATAAAAGCCGGTAAAAAAATATGGCTATGTTGAACCAGTTGCTATCACAAAATTCAAAGCAATATGGAATTATTTAAATGTTACTTTATTTAAAGAAGAGTAGGACCATGAAATTTGTTGTTTTATTTGTTAATGAATTTCTGGCGATTAATTCTTAAATTTTACTACTGTAGTATAGTTAATGCAATAATTAATCTCATCTCCAGTTATGATTTTGATTTTTGGTTGCTCAGTAACATAAAACAAGATATTTCTAAACTTTAATAATTAAATTCCTGCAACACAGAATGACCTAAATAGTTTAAAAAGGCGTTAAGTAAATATCGATTAATTTACCTTGTATCGCTTATCGATAAGTTTGGTGGTCATTAAAAGAGTACCATCTCTATCCGGGAGCGCGTAAATTTGTAAACATTTCCGCACTAAAATGAATCCACCGCCTGCCCGGGGGCGCGCCCCCTCGCGATTCGTGCGTGGGCGTGGTCGCGGGGGCAGGGGCTACCGCCCGTATTTCTATTTCCGGCGCAATGGGCGCGTAATCCCTGCCCGCGGCACTCGGCAACCAAATCAGGAACAATCGCAAGCACCAGGCGCTCCAAGTGAGGATCCGCCGGCAAACCGACAACCCAGAGGCTGGAACCGCCCAGCTAGCAAGCGAGGTCGTGATGCCCACATGGACTGCAGCTTCCTGCGGCCTGAGAACTACGCCGCTCCGGAGGATGGCCTCCAGGTGCAGAGCATCGCGGTGGACAATCCGCGGGCCTATTCTGGCTGGCGGCTGTACTTCCTGCGCGAGAACTACGAGGAGGGCAATGAGCTGGCCAGAAGGGTCATGGCCGTGGAGGCTCACTTCCAGCGTAATCCACAGAAGTACGATTACGTAGGGACAAAAAATCGGGGCTTCTTTCCAATGTCCGCCATTGACATTCTCAACGATGCGCAGCTAAAGGAGGTCTGGCCTGGTCTGGCCGAGGACATCCGAGAGCACCCGCTCCGCACGCTGTCCACGCTCTCGCTGGCCATGCACACGGTGGTGGTGAACCATCTGCTGGACCTGAATGACACCACATTTATTAAAGTCTCCACCCCGGAACAGTACATTCCACCCGCCACGCGTCTACGCAAGATCTACGTCCGACCAGAGGGCTTTGTGACCGTGGAATCGATGGAAGGGATCAGTCACTCCCGCGTGGACACCCTCTTCGCCGTCCGGGGCACCGTGAGCAGCGTGGGGGAGCCCAGCTACAGCCTCACCTGGCAGGCGTTCCGCTGCAGCCGCTGCCAGATGGAGATGGCCATGCGACAGCGTGGAACCTTCCAGCCACGTCCATACCAATGCAAGCGATCCGAGTGCGTGGCTCGCGATGAGTTCCTGCCACTCCGCAACTCCCCGTACACTAGGCTTTCCATTAGGCAGATCATCCGCCTGGAGGAGTCCAGCCTGGCACAGGTCCATGACTTCGAGAGCTGTCTGCCCGGGGAGATGGACGTGGAGCTGCGTCACGATTTGGTAGACTCGGTGCGAGTGGGCCAGGAGGTGGTGGTAACTGGAGTACTCAAGCTGCAGGAACTGGGCGAGGATGCCTCTACAGGGGGTGCCCCCAACCAGATGCAAGCCTATCTCAAGGCGGTGAGCATCCGAGATGCGGCCAGCGTCAAGCGTGAGTTCAGCGATCGTGACTTGGAGGCCTTTGCCATGATCAATGCGGATGAAAATAGCTTCAAGCTTCTGGTGCAGTCCATTGCCCCGGAAGTGTACGGTCACGAGCTGCCCAAGGCCGCCTGTCTGCTATCCCTGCTCGGAGGCAGAGGAGCCGAGGCAGAAGCCATCAATGTGCTCCTGGTGGGCGATCCCGGCATCGGCAAGACTAAGATCCTGCAGAGCTGCGCACAGATCACAGAGCGCGGTGCGCACGTGAGTGGTAAACGTGGGGCTCAATCCGCCCAGCATCTGGGTGTGACCTTTGCTGGCAGGAACAAGCGAGTCCTGCAGGCGGGCGCCCTGGTGGCGGCCAGTGGAGGCGGCCACTGCACCCTGGACGATGTGGACAAACTCTCCTCCAAGCAGGCCATACTGCTGCAGTGCCTACAATCGGGACATGTGAATCTTCCGCTACCGGGAGCCTTTGCCTCTTTTCCGGCCCAACCATCGGTGATTGGTTGCGCAAATCCCCAACGAGGACAGTACGATGAGGGGCGCTATCTGCTGCAGAATATCAACATTACGCCGACTTTGCTGCGGGAGTTTCACCTGGTCTATGTGCTGCTCGATAAGCCCTCCGAACGGGACATGTCCCTCTCCGCTCATGTGAGGGCACTCCATGCTGGGGCCAAAAAGCGGGAAAAGATCGCAGCCCGGTATGCTTCAAAGCCGAAGATGAGTGACTCCATGGCCGAGGCCACCTTTCGTGTGCAAGCGGCGGCGGGAACAGAGGATGACACAATGAAGAGTGATGTCGACAACGACAGCATCATGCAGCAGGACTACGATCTGGACAAGCGGCTGGAGCTGCTGCCCGAGGAGGGGGACTTGGATCTGCTGCCACCCATTCTGATCAAGAAGTTCTTGGCCTACGCCCGCCAGGAAGTGAGTCCGCTTCTGAACGAGGATGCTGGCAATGACATTCTCAGATTCTTCCACGAGCTCCAGAGCAGCAGCGCCCAGGATGAAGGCGACTCCACTCAGATGGAAGCGGGGTGAGTGTGTTCTTTTGGCGATGGATTTATTTAAGTTATGTTTCTAATTCTAGTTATAAGTAGTCTATAGGTTAAGATATAGGACTAACGCATAAGCTTAAGAAAGGAGGAGACGGGCAGCTCCAGAAAGATGGCCAGTAGAAAGGAGCACAGATAGGACATGGTCATTGTGAAGAAGATGAAGGCGAACTGTGGCAAATAATACAGAAATATAAATTTAAACTAAATCAATCCTGAAGCCTACTTACCATCATGCCCGTGCCAAAGTAGATGGGTTCCCGCACCGTGGCCAAGACGATCCTTGCCACCAGGAGATGGACAATAAACGCGCCATAGGTAAGGCGTCCCAAAATCCGAAAAATGGGCAGGCAGGCAAATTTACGAAAGATCCCTGCGTGGAGAAAGTACAGACATAAAAGACATAAAGTTTAAAGTATCCCCTAACTAAAACTCACAGCCCACTTTGCTGGCCATGCCCACGATGAAGATGCCCAGGCCAAAGCCCCAGATGTTCCGCTGCAGGCCGGCATACAAGGCTCCCCAAATGGCGGACGGAGCCACGTAGTAGTGCTGGAAGATGGGATGGGCACTGAACAGCCAGAGGATGCCCACCGGGATGAGGGTGAACCAGAGCAATTGGAAGCTCTTCAAATCCCGCAGCTTGTATTGCTTCATGGCCAACTGATCGTAGACCAATGCGGCCAGGACTCCACAGAAGTAGCAACCAAAGTTCATTAGGGACGAGGTGTAAAACTCAGTGAACTGCCGATCTCCTATAAACGAATCCTTCTGGGTTCTATAAAGTGGGACAAAGGAATAACACCTTTAAAGTTCCAAACGTTTTAAACCGATTTACTCACTGTGGCGTGGGTATAAAAATGGGGTAGTATCCCATCACATAGGTGAGCACAACTGGCAGCGCCACAAAGAACGCTAGAACGCCCGCATAGAGCTGCTTGCTCCACTTGGCGAACCGGTGGCCCAGCATCAGCAGAACCAAGCTGAGCACAAAGGAATGCGTGTCCGCTGCCAAGTACCAACCTTGCAGCAGGCACTTCAAAGACGCAATACGGTTTTTATTTGGAATTATCTAGAACTAGGACTAGGACTAGGACCAGGACCACTTACCCGCTCATCAGTACGCACAAAGTTGTTGATGTACAACAGATTGGTCCACCAGTTGCGGCGGCAGGCCAGCTGCTCCCGCTCAAAGATGTGCCGCCACAGAGGGCCGCCGGCGTTCTCGAAATAAACGCCGCTCATGAGCAGGACGAAGGCATACGGAACGGTCAACCGGATGTATCGAAAGATATTAAATTTCACAAAGAGCTGGGTATACTGGCCAAAGCTCCAGGTGTCATTTTTGGATTGTACCGCCCGAGAAACCGCCAGCCAATTTATGGTCAACAGCAGGCCGCTGATCACAAAAAAGGTGACGGTGATCAAGGATCCCGAAACGAGTAGAGTGCCCGCTGCAGTATGAAGCAGCCGCTCTGGATCCTGCGGATTACTTATAGCGCTCTCGTAAATCACCCAATTGGTGTGGGCAAAGATCACCATGAACATGGCGAAGAACTTGAAGCAGTCGAGGAAACGCAGCTCGCGTCCGATCTTGCCACTTGGCTCCTGGTTGAGGCGGTACCAATTGCGGGCTATCGAAAAGGTGAGCAGCACTTGTTGTGTGGTGCTCTTCGGCGGCGTCTTGTAGTGATCCCGCTCTTTGAGCATCTTGTCATGCCGCCCACGCTTCAGGTGAAGATCCACCAAGCTTCCCAGGCAAGCCAGGACCAGTAGGGCGCCCAGGATACCATAGAAAGTCAGGTTCCAAGCATCTTTAAGGGAGCAAAAATGTTTTACAAGTAAAACCAAATACCGGGTTAATCAATTTAGATTTCATATTAAAAGGAAATTTTTATTTACTTTAAAATAAGAATGGTAAATTCGTAATACTCTTTGTAAAAATACTTCAGTGGTAATAAATACTTTTATTTGTATTTTAAACAGTGTTAGCATTTTACCATTGAATTTACATTTTTATTTTTACGTTACGTTTACGCAAATGTAATTGCCTTAGAAAGATTTAAGTAACTTTATTTAAAATAATTTATACATACCAACATTTCTCTTATAAAATAGTTGGCATATTTTAAAGGAGCTATATTAAAGTGTTTAAACACTTAAATTTTATTTTTTTTCTGAACAAACTGCAGTCCCAACTTATTTTATAGATTTAATATTAATTGTTATAAATGTACTCACCGTCTTCCACCTGATGACCCGCCTGGTCGCAGTACTCCACCACGCTCTTGGCCAGCACCCCGAATCCCCGACGCTGCAGTCGCCAATTGAGACAGGCATTCGTCAGTCGCTGGTGTCGCTGGCGGTTGGTGGTCTCCATCGAGAACAAGTCGAGGTACACATTCACCTGCCAATGATTTGATAGTCAGTCGTGGGGAATCATTTAAATACCCAAATGTCAACGTCAGGCCCTTGGCCTTGAAAGAAATGAGTGTGAATTGATTTGATTGAATTGGATCGGATTTCGCTGTTTCACCGCCCATTTCCATTTTGGCCAACGCCTAAGTCAACAGCTATGTGTAATCGGACATCGTAAATGCATTTTGATGGCGACTGCATCAATGGCATCGCCACACCACAGCACCCCATTCCCATCTCTCATCTCCCAACTGGCAGCTCCCATTACCCACCTATCCGATGTTTGATCAGCGGATTTTCCGGCTGTAATTTATGCAATGTTTATAGGTAATGAAGATAGATATCACGCATTCGGCCAGAGGCGTCTGCAAGGGGGGCCCTTCAAATGAGACACTCTGATTATTCTGGGAATTTATTTTAACTCTAAAGAAGCCCTTGAAATAAACCACTTTCCATTAAAGGGCAAGCCTGTTCTTAAAATCTGAAATCTGATTTAATCAGTGAGTTGACTCAATCGATTTTTGTTTTGGTTGAGGAACCCTTTTTTCTTTAAAAGCTTCTACAAAAATTATATTTCATAAACAAAAAGCATAAACTATTTAAGTAGATCGTTAAAGCGAAAGATCGTTAGCTTTGGGATATATTTTTTTTATAGATTTGGTAGTTTCAGATTAGAGACTTTCATAGCTGTGGTCAAAATAATAGTAGTGGGACAATATAAATTATAATTTTTTTTTATATTTAAAAATATAAACCTGTGATAAATATATTATTTATTATTGGCTTTAAAAAAAATTAACAACAATCTATCTCCCTTTTTTTGATTTCTATTTCCGTAAGCTAAAAACTACTATTGTATTGACCGCAATTGTAAAAGATTTTTAAAATGTTCTTTAAACTTTAATTTAGTAAATGTACCGGCAAAATAAAACTGAATATCACAAAAAACCCCCTTTTCTGTGCCCCTGGTCCGTTAATCTGTGGCTCACGGCGAGCACAAGTTGAATAAACTTTGGCGTTTGTATCCCGGCTTCTGTGTCCGATGATTATTGATTGACCATTACGGCCGACGCCTCGACCAGCGATGGGTTTTGAAATATCTGCCCGGCAGCGTGATCGAAGATTGAATTAAATCGATCGTTAGCCGCAGCTGAATCGCTCCCAATGAGGTGACACCTCCGCGTGGCCTTACCTTCGCATTTTCCGTGAGCAAGCCGGCCTGCAGGGCCTCCAGTTCGCTGTCGTCCAAACCGGCCAGAGAAGCCTCACATTCGCGCAGGCAGAGGCCGAAGTAGAGCTGCCTGTGATCGAAGTGGTGGCGATCGTACTGCGAAATCTCGACTATGGCTCGCCAGGCGGCCACCGACTCATCCGGCTGGACTTCCGCCCGGACGAAGCAGTAGGCTGAGGACTGTCCGTCAAACTGCTGGAGGCAACGATCGTAGTCATCCAAGTCGTACAACTGCGGCATCTCATAGAACTGCGTCACTGCAGGGCGGAAGGGAAAGAGCAGATCGAGAAACATCATTGGGAATACGAATCAGTCGGATGAATCAGCTCATTAAGTGGCAAACTAGTTTTTGCATGGGGCAGATCCTTTTTCGCTAGAGCCGCAGTACGGGTTCAATGGCTGTTAACTCAAGTGAAAGGAAACTAGTTTCCTTTACCCGAACTTGAACTTTTCTTGCATTTGCCTGCAGCATCTTCATCTCCATTCCGACTGGGGGAAATAACCAAACAAGCAAATGTAAATATTGTAATTGTTAAGCCCTTTTTTTTGCTGGCCAAGTGAGTGCCTCAATCTCTTGTCAAATGCCAGACACTTTGGCTGAGTTAATTGTTTATCAGAATACTGCTCCGTCATCGAAGTTTCGAGAGGTTTTCGTACCTCCAATTTGGGGGGGGGGAACTTTGCCACAGAACACGCGATTGGGAGGAGCAGGTGCAGATGGGGGTAATACCAACTTTGGCCAACTGCTCTATAGTTATATCGATTGACAAGCATAACATGGAAATACGAAAGCGCTTATACAAGTCAAATTAATCATAGGCATTAAATGATTTGTGTGTTTAAGCGCAGTTTATAATTTCTGCAGGCAGCAAAGTAAATGACTATTATTATTGGTTTTCGATTACTCTAATATATATATATATTTTTTTTTTTATATATCACTGCTGACAAAACCTACTAATCGTAAAGTCTAAAATCTTGAAAAATATAATCTTTTATGTGTTTGATACTGATTTTCATATTCTGATGTTGAGCTTAAATCATTTTAACGCTCTTTCAACAAATGTTAATTCCTTTCTTAATGATTCACACTTATTGTTATAAAATCTAATCTTATCCAACTAGTATACAATTTTTTATAGGCCCATAAATCAAAATTACACGGAACATAAATCCTGCAGCTTGGTTGTAGGGTTTTAAGAGTGATATCGACTTACTGTTCAATTGAAAGCATTGTGCGGCCGTTAAAATCGCAGCTAAAATCACGATGTGTAGCATCATCGTGGGATGTATCGAATCGGCAATCGTAATGCACCCTCTAATTGATTGACTTTGAAAGACGTTTGGCACTTTCGTCACTCGGATCACCAATCAAATGCAATGCCAGCGCACCAATAACAATAAGAAGCTGGAATTTCGTCAACGGATGCGACTCAAAGTAAATGAAGTGAAACAAAGCAGGTGACCAGACCCAGGGGCTTCTGCTGCCCGGCCAATGCCAATGTTAGGAAATGCACTTTTGGCTTAAATCGAATCAAACCGAACCGAACCGATCCGGCAGCTAATGAACCGTTTGCGCCAACGAGCGAACCGAGAATGAAATGCGTGCGGTTGAAGCCTCTGGATGAGATGAGATGAGATGAGATGAGGGCTCCGCTGCCTCAGCCTCAGTTTCAGTTTCAGCTTTAGTTTCAGCCTCTGCCGATGTCGATGCAGTTGCTGTAATGATGAGTTTCAAAATTCCCCCCGAGAAATGCGTTGGTTTCCGAAAAATAAAAGAAAACAAAACGCAAAAGCGAAATGCGTTGGAACATGTTCGATGCTGGGCACTCAGTCGCCCACATGCAACTGATTTATGTTTACGTTTTGGGTTTTCGGCCAAGTTAGTATTGATTGGACCTAAACTTGCGACCATATGGACCTATGACTTACAAATCCCCAAAAAAATTCTCTGCCAAAACGTGTTTTTGGGCCCATATGAAGACAACTAAATAGAATTGTTTACGCACGGCGTAGATAATGACGAAAACAAGATGCGAAATTAATTATTAACAAACGCCCTCGGGCCCTTAATCATCCCAATTGAGTTTGAAAAACTCAGAATCAAAGAAGACAGGTTCAAAGATCTATTACCAAAAGGGCTGAACTCAAAAGACTTGGGCACCAAACTGGGTTTCCAACTAAGGGCTATGAAACGTTTTTAAACTCTGGAAGATTATATATTGATATTACTGGCCATTGTTTTATTGCATTTCGTTCTGAAAAGTATTTAAAGATTACATCTTATTTAAATATCTTTAAATTAGAGCTTTTTATTTATTTATATTATTATTATTATTTATTTAAAACTTCTTGTATGCCAATATATTGAAATTTTAATACAATATTAAGTATTAAGTATGATGATTTGTCATATTTCTAATTTATGTTCCCTTTTAAGCCACATTCATCTATCGAAACATAATATTTTTTTACCATTTCCTTAGGCAACTCCTTGGGCTGATTCACCTGTCCCAGGCACGTGCCCGCCTGGATCTTTCCCACGTGGTCAGTCGTCAGCACGTGCGCGATGTGATCGCCCTGCTGACCGAGAGTATTACCCAGACCAGTCTTAAGGCGGACAGCGGTGGAACATCTGGAGCTCGAGGAGGAGGCGGCGGAAAGAGTGCCCAACTGCGCAATTTTGTCCAGTTAATGCAAAAACGTTCTGCCGCATTGGGAAGGCGCATCTTTGAGTACGATGAGCTGAAGGAGATCGGATCGAGGGCTGGTATCTTGACCGGCATCAACCAGGTGGTGGAAATGGCCAACTTGGGCGGCTATTTGCTCATGAAGGGCGCAAATATGTACGAAGTGGTTCCGGACTGAGGAAATGACAAATGAATAAGTCAATATTTGACTTGCGTCTATAGTTTTCAGTCCTGTTATCTAATTGTTAAGTGGTTGTTAAGATGAGCCAAAATGTCTAGCTGTAAATTACAAATAACTTTTACGGAAAACATTGTCTAGGTCGAAATTTCTATACTGCAATTGAAATTGTAAGAATTTAATATATCAATAATAACAAACAAATTGTGTCACTTACGACTGTGTTTGTGTGAAAAATTACTAAGAATTTGAATACAGAAAGCATACTTTCGGGAGCAAACTTCATATAATTTTACCACGAAACTGCGTGCTAAAAGTATTCGTACTCACAAAGTTCCTTATTAATATCTACGAAAATCAACAGCTAAAGGTAACAATAAATCCGTTAGATACTATTATGCCATGTAAGGAAAATATATGTGACATTCATTTCGTATTATTACCAATCTTGTCAGAAAATTCTTATCAATTACAAACACACTTCCCATAATTGGTTTCATTTAATACTTTATTTTCTTGTATCCATAAAATTAGATATAATGTAATAAGTTTTTATAAATAAATACACAAAACATATATATTTGTTAGAAGTGTTCCATCGTTATTCGCCTGTCGTTAAGTTCTGGGTATTCTAAAGTTGATGTCTTGCTTGCTTTGAATGCTTTGTTTCTGTAGTCAGTAGTAACTATTTGAATAACTCTCGTATACGACAACACCAGAGCTGAGAGAGGGGGCTTAGATCTAGGTGGTTTATCGGTTATTAGAGCTATTTTTACCGTGCCTGGAAATCCTATTCGACTATGTACAATATCGCTAGTGAATGTAATGTAATATTTGGCTTATCCTTTTGCTACCCCACTACGTTTCTCATTTAAAACTTATACCCTACATACACTTGTGTATATTTAAGGATTTCACAATCGAGATACTACTGTGGTTTGCTAAGTTTTAAATTTAGGGCTAGGATTGGTTAGAGCTATTGAGATTAATCGTACATGCCAATTTTGCAATCGTTTTAGGCTAATCAGTCTAAACAAATCGATGCGAACGCCAATCGTGCAAACGAAACAAAAAATTTTACCTATTTTTCTGTCTAAATATTTCAAGCTAAAATCAAGCTAGTCCTTAATCTAAGCTATATCATTTCCATAGTGCGGTTTAGTTCAAGTTTATTGCACAGATATTTCAATAGTGATGCTGGGGAAGATTGGCTAACCGGAATGCATTGCCCTGGGCAGACGATAATACATTGAGTTGGGCTGTAGGTTTGTCATCCTGCATGTTTGGGTGGGTCAATTTATATAATCAAAAAAAAAAAAAAAACTAAAAAATATTTATGGCTAACTCTAAGCATTTTTGGCTTGGATCAATCAGAGTTTAATGCAGGTTTTATAGCCTCTTAGAAAAGGCTATTATTTAGAGGATAAAAGGGAGCAATTAATATATAGTTCAAATTTAGAACATGCTAGCCTCGTTTTTACTTAAGCTTTGATCTGTAACCCTGCTAAATCCGGCAGTCTGCAAGACCAACGTGCTTAGAATTACTCATAAACTTGTGTCCTATTTAATTAGACAAAAATGAACTACCCACCCGGTTGTATGTTTATAACTATGTCGTGTGCTTTGTACTTTCAAAACTGTTGGAGACAGACAGTAGACGTGTGGAAAACTAAATAAAGCTGGGAACTTTGCACTTGGCGCTTACCACTAACTATTCGAACTAAACCACTGATAAATACAATAAATATTTCCGGTAGATGCGATTCAAGCCGCCTCACACCTCCGCGCGGAAAGTGAGGTTGAAGGTGCGCAACTGCATGGGCTCCAGACTGATCTCAGCCAGGGATCGTATGTGGAAGCTGTCCTTGGACGGCTTCTGCTCCGTCCCCGTCAGACTGGTGGCCTCGATGGTGTGCAGCCGGAGCCGCCCCAGCTGCACGTTTCCCAGTCCCTTGCTGGACAACGGGCACAGGGCCTCCATGGACAAATCCCTGCCAGCGCTCACGCCACAGTCGAATCCCTGGCGATGCAGCACGAGCAGCGCCGAGGCGGACGGAAACAGCTGCAGCTCCGGGTCGGACAGGGTGCGCAGGTTGGTCAGGTGCACGTCGCAGGGCAGCGCTCCCTTGGGCAGCAGCCGGACCAAGGGCAGCAGAGCGGCGGACAGTTCGGGCTGCTCCAGGCTGCTCACGAAGTACAGATTCGGCGGGTAGCGCAGGCCATTGGCCATCTGCTGGGCCTGCTGACTGAGCACCTTGTAGCTGGGCGGCTGCAACTGGGAATGCTGACCCCCAGGCAGGTCCTCCACCAGCAGCCAGAACTTGTGGCGCGTCAGCCGGCTGTCCACGACGCCCTCGCCCATGCCGCGGTAGTCGTCGTACAGGGTGCGCCGGTCCAGCATCACCTCCAGCTGGCCCGGCTCGTAGCTGGCCGCTCCTTGGGCATGGGTGGTCAGCAGGGTGAGCCGGAGTCGCGTGTCCTGGATAAAGGCACCCGAGGTTATGGGGAAGTAGTTGCCCTCGATGCCGATTGCCGGCACTTTTATTCGTCTAAGCAACAAAGAAAGGGTTATATTAGCATTCGGTTTCAGAAGGGGTATGTTAAACTACAAAAATTTCGATTTCTATGCGCATACGTTTAAGAACATTGAAGCTATGATGACTTTTACTTGAATATATTGATCGTTCCTATGACAACTATATAGTATAGTTTTCCGATTTAAATACAATTAAATCTGTAATTCTGAATTATTAAACTATTACTACGTCTCAAAGAGTTTAAAATAAAATTTACAAAACAGAGAAGTTATCATTTTTTTCATATATTGTATTTTTGTAATAGTACAAATTAAATCCCTGATTATGAAATTTTTGAAGAATTAAAAAAAATTAAATAAAATTGAATTTATAATATTATTTCAATTTGTTCCGGATTGTTCCAGTGGAAGGTATATGATATAGTAAGCCGATCCGGCTTTATCAATAGAGCTTTAAGACTGAGGGACTAGTTTGCGTAGAAATAGACGGGCAGATGGAGTAAAAAGCGGACAGACGGACGGACAGGTCTTAATTTAATCCTCTAGTGATGCTGATAAGGAATGTATGTATTTATAGGGATCCCTCAACTCTTTACTCTTAAACCCTCTGCAAGGGTATACTCATTTGGGGGCTCCTACTCTGGATTGCTCAACTTACTCATGATACTGAAAGCCGTTTTGATCGCTGTAGAAGACGGGCAGCTCGGGCATAGTGGCCGCATCGGCCGGCTCCTTGAGAGGATCCCGCTGCAGCGCCACTTGGGCAATGTTGTCGATATTGGTGACCAGCCGCATGAACAGCTCCGTCTCCCGGTTTTTGGGCGGCGGCTCAAAGTCAATGTCGTTCTCCACATATATGGCCGCATCCAGGTGGGTTCGCGTGTTGAAAATGCGCACCGTGTGCGCCAGGAAGGGGCCATAGATGACGGTCACGTCGCTGGCTATCGGCCCAGAGGTGATTATGATGCGCATGTCCGTGTAGCCCTCGAGCACTTCCTTCTCGGCCTCGCTCTGTTCGGGATCGGTCTTGAAGAGATAGGCGCCCGAGTGGAACTGGGCACTGCGGTAGGCGGCGAACTTGATGTTGCACTGCAGCGGCTTCAGCAGCTCCTTTTTCTGGTTCTTGCGCGTGATGGTCTTGAGGAAACCGCTCTTCTCGTCGAACAGCAGGCGCATGTGAGGGTTTTCCAACTGGATGTCGCCTGGGCAGGTGCAGAAGTGATATATATATATATATAGTATATATACTTGTATTTTAAAGCAACTTACCAGCTGGCTTGCCACGAGCCTCGAAAACGGGAGCTGGCGAGGCTTCCGCCTCCTCCGGCGGACTCACTGCTGCAGGTCCCGCACCCGTGCAGTCGTCGCAGTAGATGGTGGCAATGTTCCGCTTGAAGTTGACCTCGTCCACCTGCACGCGGTACGTGCTGAGGGACAGGGGCTCCAGTTCGGCCACAAACATCACCTCAAACTGCCGCGTCGAGGTGCGAATGCGTCCCACCGAGCCGGACACGGAGGTGCCCAGTCCCTGCTCGTAGGTGTCCGTGATGTTCCACACCGGATTGATCTGAATGTGGCTCAGCTCCACGCCCTTGTCGTTCAGCACCTTCACATTGGGATGCTGGACGCGCAGCGTGACGACTTCCATCCGCTTCTGGGCCAGCGAGTTGTAGAGGACAAAGCTGGCCGCTGCTCCGAGGGTAGCAGAGCCACCCGCTCCCCCCGCTCCACCCTCACCCCCCGAAACGGTGGGCATGGAGTCGTCCCCGCTGGCCATCTGGATGGGCATCTTGCGCGGCAGCTTGTTGACGTTGTCCCGCTCGAATTCGCTGAGCAGGAAGCCGTGGTGACGCGGCTGACCCTTCTGCAGCAGCAGCTCCAGGCAGGACTCCTGCATCTTGACCACGTTCTGGGTGCTCTCGAACAGACGCATGGCATAGTCGCGCATGACCGCCGCCTTGGAGGTGCCAGTGATGGCGTCGTGGTGCTGGAACAGACCCAGATTTCGCCTGGCATTGATGATCAGCTCGTAGTTCTTCTCGTAGATCTTGATCGCATTCTCGCGCTTCGCCTGCCGCGCTGTGTTGTAGGCCAGCGTGAAGACGATCTCGGCGGAACGCAGCTGGTGCTCCAGCTCCGAGCTGAGCAGCTTGTAGAAGGGACGCGTGGTGAAGTAGCCCGACCAGTAGGCCGGCCTGCCCTCCGAGAAGATGTCCGAGTAGACGTAGAAGTCGCCCTTGAAGGTGGGAAAAGACGGACTATGGTCCTTCATGCGCTCCTTGATGGCCTCGAAGTAGTCGCTGGGCGTGCCGAACCGGATGTCCGCGTTGTACAGGCGCCGGTTGGCCATGATGTGATCGATGAGCTTCTTGTAGTTCTGGTACTGCTGGTCCACCTCGCGATCCTTGTTGTAGCGGAAGTCATCGCCCACCGGGATGAGGGCCACGTTGTGGGGAAACAGAGAGGCCGTCCTGGCATACTGCTCGAGCAGCAGCTGCGCCTTGGCCTCCAGGTTGTCGTCCGTGATGAACTGCGCCTTCACGGAGTACTCCGTGTACTCGCCCGGAATCTTGCGGAAGTCGAAGTTCAAACAGATGAACGGATGGGGGCCGCACGAGCTCTTGATCGAGTATATATCGAAGGGCATGTTGTGGGTGAGCAGGCTGCCAGTGTCGCTGTCGCTGTCCCTGCCCGTCGCTGTCCTGCCCCTCCAGTAGGGCTTCCAGATGAAGTCACCCGACTGCTGGCGCGCAAACCACTGCTTCCAGGCGTAGTGGATGCGCTGAATGATGGCGCCCTCGAAGTTCGCTCCGGACAGAAGGTACGGCACGGTGCTGCCGTGTCCAAAGGGATCGATGGACCAGCCCACCTTGGGCGTCACATTCAGGTTGTTCTTCAGCCACTGGTGGCCCTCGATGAGCTGGTCCAGCATGGGGTAGATGTGCACATTCGCCTCGTCCGTCATCACCCATCCGCCGGTGGTGATCTCGATGCGGCCCGAGTCGATCAGCCGGCGCAGCGCTCGCTGCTTGGTGGGATGGGCCTGGTCCCACCAGAGCTGCAGGAAACTGATCTCCGACCAGATGAAGGTCATGTCCGTGTACTCCTGCATCTTGGTCACCAGCAGGTTGAGGATCTGCCGCGAGTCCGACTGGAAGTAGTTGGTGAAGGTCTTCAGCCAGCCGGGATCGTTGTGGGAGTGCGGCACCACTATGATCTTTAGTGGCGGTCGCTGCTTGTCCTTTTTCTGCGCCTCAAAGCGCTCCTCGAAGCCACGATCCCAGTACTCCTTCGAGCGCATCCATTCCGGCTGCAAACACAACACAGTTGGACCACATTTTTAGATTTTGGCCACTTGTGTGCCCTTTTGCTCACCTGAAAGTCGAACTTGCTGTGCTCCTCGCTGGCGGTTATGTTCGTGTTGCTCTGAAGCAGCTCGTAGCACTTGTCGCCCCAATCGCTGTTGGAGTACTCCTCCTCCGATTGCGATTCCGGCGACCCGGTTGTCTGCGCCGCCGCCTTCGTCTCCGAGGATCTCTTCTGGTTCGAGACGATCGCGGCGTGCGACTTCTGTTGGTGGGACATCGCGGATGAGCCTCCGCCCACGCTGAAACCGGTGAAGGCATTGAGCGGTGAGCCCCGCAACGCCGCCGATGGCGCACCCGTCTCCGAAACGGGCGCCGGATTGGGCTGGCCAATGGAGATGTAGTAGAGGCAGAGCAGGATCGTCACGAACGCCGACAGCAGGCCGATGCAGCGCGCCGATCCGCGGCGGAAGAGCTTGAACGACATCCTGGTCAGTGGACTGCGCTTGCTGGTCCCCGGTTGGGATTCCACCGGATTAACTTGCTGCTGGGCTTCTTCTCCCTTGCTCGGGCTGTTTTCTACATCTGAAAATAAATTATAATATTATAAATTAGAATATTAATGTTATACAACAACTTTTATTACAATATCATCAATTGATTTTTAATAAGACAGGTATTTTTTAATGTTTATAAATGTGTTTTGTTAGGCGCTTTTTATTATGTTGTAACTTGCCTAAAATAGTTTGGATTTTGATATACAATCAGAAACCAAATTCCTTAATTTTCTGAATAATTCCTGGATTCTAAAAATAATGACAGAAACATGGCTTCTGATATATGTTTAATATTACATACCATGCTTAGGGATTAGTGCCTACAAATATATTAGTTAAAGCAAGCTAATGCATTTTCTTTGAGCTTGTATGTTTGCAAATATCTTGTTTTAAACCATCTTAAAAACTTTGTAAATGATAATCTTTTTTAGCATTTGTTTATTTGCACAACACTACTTTTAATGCAAAACATTTATCGCTTAAGCAGTTTATGCATGCAAAGGACATAAAAAACGTTTCTATTCCTACATCCATTTCAAGCCTAATCCGGCTTCTGATTTTATTTTTCCCACACTAATCCTGTCTGGGCTGTCCTTGCCGCAAGAGTGTTTGAATATTTCATGCGGACGAGGGCAGGAAGTTTAGTGGTGAATTTAATTAAAGCATAACAGGGACAAAGGAGGCGAAATGCCTGGAGCCTGGTGTAAGGAATGCATAAATGCTTGTCGACGATAAGTAAAATTGTAAGCAAGGTGCTTGTATGCTGTGCTAAATTAAAACAGGAAAAATTAAAATAAATAAAAATACATTCCCTTCAACTTGCGTTTGCTGGCGAATGTTAAGACCATATAAATTTAGGTAAATCCCCAACCTATCAGTTGTTGCCATAACCTTTTATGGTTCGTGTTTAAGGTCGAAGTTCAGCCTAGAAATACCAGCACGTCACAAATGCCCACGCACGCCAGTCAAACTAACTTAACGAACTATGCAAACTGAAAACTCAATCAAAAACTCCTCACATGTTCGCAGAACTTTTCGCAATGATGAAACTATTGCATAGTTTGAAGCAAACTTTTGCCCACGAACTGCTTAAAATTCCCGGGCAACCCAATGCGCAAAAGTAAATTAATAGCCCACAAATGAGAGACAAAAGCCTGCAAAAACAGATGAATACTTTCCACCACTGCACATGATTTATTCACTTTTGATTGCCATTGGCCATAATTTAGGGTTTTTATATCTGCTTAACACGCAGAGAAAACATTATCTCCTGCCAACGCTGAACGCTGCATTCCATTTAATTACAATTTAAAGGCATTTAAGGTCCAATGAGCAGCAGCATCGTTTGCAGCTCCATTCAAATGGGGCAAAAAGGTAGCAGCAGGGGCGTTGCAAAAGGGGGGCGCTCTACGCTCTATGCTAATCAGCGGGCATTAACTGATGTTGCCACAAGCCAGCACCTGTCACCCAACGGAACCAGCATTGCCACTCTTATGGTAATTTAAGTGTTTCCCGCGTCCCAAGAGTCCCATTCATTTCTCCTCCTTTGCTCCACAGAGAAATGTGGCAGACTTGTTATAAAAAGAATAAAAGAACACAGGAACCAGAGCTTAAGCTCCCTAGAAATTCTCCAAGGGAAGGAGATGCTAGCATTTCGAGATCTCTGATACTGGAAAACTTCTCAGCACCACGAATTCCCAGCAAAGTTGCCTCAATTATTTCAATTAGCCGAATATGTTCACTTCCTTCCGACTAAGGACCTTAATAACTTCCTGAAAATGAAAACCGTAGAAGCGTCAACTGCTCCGGGGATCTTGTGCTTGACCCCCATCAAAACATTTTGCCTGCAAATTTATCCAGCTCAATACTTAGAAAAAATACGAGATCCTCTAAAACTTGGAAAACAAAATAATTTTAAGTCAGTCAAATGCAAAAAAGAAATTATTACAAACATTTAAAATATGTTCTCAATCATTTTAAAATGGATGACTCTTTTACTCTCGAACTAATTAGACCTTAACAATTTTTAATTAATGTCAGGTTTTTACTAAAACATCATTTGTTTTTTCAGTGTGGCTAGTTAAGAAATGGGTAGAAATAGAAAAAGTGGTCCCCACTGCTGTCATCACAAATGTTGCAAAGAGTTTTCTGGCAAATTTGATTCCATTGCAAATTGCACTTTGTCAACCTTTTCGACCGCCCCGAATGGATGACAACCTTCATCTCGGAGTCAACACGTACGTAAACGTACATCCTTCGGGTTCCTTTGACGTGTTATCCTTTTTTTTGTGGTTGCTTCCTGTCACATTTCTCCTTCTGCACCATATAATTTCGAGTTGGAAAATGATTTTGTTGTTTCAGTTTCCCTTGGTTTTCTCCTATTTTCTTATTGTGGGTGTGCTTGTTTGTGAGTTTTTCTATCCTTCTCTGTGTATGAAAAAAGCCAACTCAAGAAGTCAGTTTTGCTGTTATCCTAGTTCCCTTTCGTCCTAGCTTTTTGTCCTGCTGGTTTTTTTTCGCCCCTTTCGACGCTTTTGCGCCCCTTGACCCTTGAAGTCTTCTCTGAGGGAGCTTAATTTCGTTTGGAGTTGCAACTTGAAGCGTCCATGTGAATGTTTTCAATGCAAATGGATATTTTTGCTACCCTGCATTGAGGGAAAGACAAGAGTGTATGCGTATCTCGACTAAAAATAAAATTATTTTTATTATATTAAATAGGTTCTTAGCTTACGCTTTCACTGTTCAGATTGGAAAGAAACATTAAAATGATGTAAATGTATGTGTTCAAAAGAATTTCTTCAACTATAAAAGAGTATCTGCTAGTCTGAACACTCGACTATAATTGTAGCCAAGTTTTTGCTATGATGTATTGGCTGGTTCGGTTGGCCTTCTTTGTGCTCCTGCCAGCCAAATTGGTAGTTTTGTGAATGGAAAACTTTTCTAAAAGCACTCGGAATCAATTGTGAACTTTTTTGTTAGCTATTTTCCCTGTTTTTTGTGCGGGCGTAGAAGTTTTGTATCGCTGTTATTCAATTTCATTATGAATTTTTAGATGGCAATTGAATATTTAGATGGCAAACTTTCCAACATTTGAAAGGGGAAACAAATTAGTCGCTCTTTTGTTTTTGATAATCACAATCGCCGACACCTTTAAATGGCAAAAAAAGTAATTTCCTTTTAATTAAAACTTCTAGGCAGAAAGTTAATGTAAAGTCATTGTCACCACCTCAGGAAGTGGAAAAGGAGGCCAAGAAATAAAAGCATGACAGAAGGCAGAAGTGTAAACGTAAATTCAGTTTAAAAATGGTAAACGTTGGAAGGCCGAAAAAAAAGAAGAACATAAACAATAGTTTGCATAAATGGCACGGAAATTGCAGCTGCAACTGAAGGCAAAACGTAAAAAGCCTTTGCCCCGAGCTCTCAACAAACTTAAAAACGGTTAAAAAACTGTTTTCTTAGCGGCGAACGCAAAAAGTTCCCCAAAAAGTAAACAAATAAAAAGAGTGCGGAAATCGAACTGCACAATACGAAGTTTTTGTACCCTCTATTTTTGTGCTATTGAACTATAATATTCTGCATTACAATAAAGGAAAATTTGTAGCTGGATGAGTAATAAAATTATTTTATAAAAAAGCAGAAATAGAGAAACAACAGTATTACTGCTAAAAATTATAGTTTGCATCCATTACTTTTGAAGATATATAAAAAAAAAAAATGTTTATCAATTATAGAATGTGGTCCCTTTGAGAAACTACTTACCAAACTTATAAATCTCTTAGAGAGGGTATAGAAACTCAAACTTCAACTCTGACTTTGGACTTTGGACTTTAGGAGTGGCGTGGCAGCTGAGGTTCCCTGTGCTCCCTTTTTGTCGATGTCAGAAAATGGGCAATGCGAGCTTCGTTGAGGGCAGGCAGTTTAGTAAGGTCCCAGAACTTTACTTTAAGAGTTCATGCTTTTTTAATTATGGAAACTAACGTTGCACCAAAGCGACCGAAGGGGCAAAGATGGGGAAGCAGGGGAACAACCAGTTATGGCAATTTTCCGGGGCAGATGAGCATGAGTAATGCGCCGGTTAAGCCGCCAGTAGAGCGTGTGGGTTTGGCATGTGCCCACCATATAATTGTATGAAGCTCGAAAAAAAAAAAAAAAACAAATAACTTGAGCCCATCCGGGGGAACATAGGCCCAGATACAGTGGGTCATTAGCATAGCCGGCGAAGCAGTAACCAGAAACAGGTATTAGAATTATGAGAACTGTTGGGTGGGGGCGACATATAGAGGGCAATTACCCGAGGAAGTTGTCAAGGACTAGCGAAAGATCTAAAAGCACGGTGATTATGATAATCAAGATTGTTCCACTTTTAATTTCGTCATTTGTAATTGCATTTTAATCATCTTAGAGCACTACTTTGTGTAGATAATTGCAAGAAGCTTTTCCAAACTTTATGTAAATTTATTAACGATGTACACTTAACAATCATAAAAGTTTCTCTTCAAATAGTTTTGTGTTAGGTTATTCCCTTTTTCCATAAGCCATTATTTGAATAGTGTGCTACAACTGTCAATTAAAGTTTATATGAATTGGTTTAACTGATTCAATGATACCTTTGTAGCTTTAATTAATAGAGAAATTTAACACATGGGAAATAAGCCTAACCATTTTGCCTATTTAAAAATGATAATTGCCCTCTTCGTTGAAATAAGAACGTGCACACTAAAATTACATTTATAAGTCTTTGTTTCTAACTGCCTAAAATGTCTTTCCTTTAAATTTCCTTTCATATCTACCCATGACAAATAACAATATTACCTTTCTGTTAGAAACCTCATTAAAACCGACTCGTTGCTTTCTCCGCTCAAGATTTATGTTTTTCTATTTTATGCTTTACAACCCATAAAACAAAGTCGCTCCCCACATATCACACCTTTCCTGCGACTCACCCACTCGACGACCACAATTGAGTAAATGGGACCAAAACAAAAAAAAGTCAGAAAAAAGAACTCCCGCTGCAGTATGTCCCCATGTCAATGGCAACCCAGCGAAGCGAGCGATGAAATTTTGGAGGGGACTGAGGGAGAATACCTACACAGAAAACAACAAATGTTAAAGTTTCAAGTTGATACAACAAACGCATATCACTTTTACCAATGAATAATGTAAAATTGATTTTAAAAGCGCTTAGTTCTAGACTTTTTCTGTCCATTTGAAGATCAAATTGATATGAAGTTGCATCAATTTTCTCTCTGTGTATTTACGCCGGGCATCCGTTAGACGAGTAGAACTTTTGAAGCTAGCCCAGCGAATTCACAGTTACTCACTTATGCAGCGACGCCATTCGTGACATATGGCCAAACGGAAAAAAAAACAAACACATTAAAGTCTGTGCCTATAAACTTGGCCAAAAGCACGGGCCAGTCGGACCATAGAGGGATTGTTCGGAGTGGTATTTATCAGATAATAGAGTAGGGAAAACAGCGGGAGTAGCGCCAATGTTGAATAAATGTCAACGGGAAAAAACCAATTTGCAAACGGAGCAACTGCAGTCATACGGTTTGCTCTATATGGTATACCACATCCATATCGGATTACTCCCATTTCCCACAGAAACTGGGCCTCAAAAACCATCGCCAAGAGAAAGTTACTCTTCGATTGCTTTCGGATTATTTCCCCTAGCGGTTTCGGTTATTAAGCAATCAAAACTCATTTGCTAATATCTGCAATTGATGGAGGTAAAAGCGGCCCACAGAGAGCGGATAAACAACCTCGTCGATAGCTCTTCCGTTCCACGCACTTGAACACTAATCGAATAGACCATGGTGCATGAGTCCACATATCTTTCACCAATCAGGTGAGTCCAATTGATTTACTACTAATTAGTGGCATTTCTATGCACCCCGTGCAGATTGTGCCAATCAAATCGATTGGAACCGCAAACAGTACTATTTTCCGGGTGACACATACCGCGATAATGTTCCTAATGTTGTCAGCATAAAGACATTGATGTTACATTTTAGTCAGCATTAGTTTAGTTTAGTTTATTAGTTTAGGTTAAAATTCATTTGTGGTGTTATCTATGGACAATTTTAAATAATGTTTTTAAGCAAACTATATTTAAATATTAAATATGAAATTAACCAAGAACAGTTTGCAATAACTTCCTTTCAAACTGGAACTAAATTTAATTTAAACATCAGTTTAACTATTATATTACAAATATAGGCACTTCCCTCACCTTTCTTTAAGCCATCGTTCCAGCAATTTAAGATTATATTTGTACTTTTATCCCATATAAGTTTATTGATATGGCTTGGGCTAAGACCTAAACGCTAAGACCAAAAGCTATAAAATGCTTTAGATGCTGACAAAGCACAAGTCGTCTCATAAAATGCGAGTCTTTTTTCCAGGAACGTGAGACCTTTTACATTGTGCGGAAGGTTTTGCCGTTTTGCTTTGTTTGGCTAAATGTACGCAGAGAAAAATGAAATGAAAATTAATTCTTGTGTTTGTTTTCCATTTTTTTTCACGCGGGGCCAAGACAAAAGGAAAATGGAACAATAACAACGTTTATGGCTTTGATTATGAAATTTTCCGTTTCAATTTCATGCAGCTAAACGGTGGGAAAACACTCACTCGCATAGATTGTAATGTATATGTAACAGGTTTACAGTTACCAATCGCTTCCATATACGCAAGGAAATATGGCCAAGATTCCCATATTGTGGGAACATTGAGTGAATTGCAGCCACAAGCAGTTTGACACCATTCTCTCACCAAGATGCAGATACGGACCTCATGTGAAGTGGACCCAAAACCAGCCCCATTGTCTCCATTTGTTTATTTAACGAAAAAAAGTTCTTACTCACTGTTGCTTTTAGGTGTAAACTAATTGGGAGCTTCAAAATAATGAGGCCAAATAAAGCTGATTTCCTTCGAATTATTAAGAATTTGCACATTACATATATTAAATTACCTCGTATAAATTAAACAGGATTTATGCCCATTTAAATAGTGCTTAAATTGAAAATGCATTTATGTAGCCTCAATAAATACATTTTTATGTCGTATACATATATGTGTGAGCAATTTATTTTACGCCATTATTACTTTGAATTATTATAGTTCACACATTGAACAACATAATTTATAATTATACGTATTTATGGCTTTTTAAAACATAGCTGTCTGGGCCAATTAAAAAGTTTTTGAATAAATGCCTCCTAGCAGTTTACAACTGCAAATGTACATATTTATGAATTATTTTCCCTAAAACTGGGCTTTAACTGGCTATTTAGCTACTTGTTTAAAACGGCAAACTGATAACATGTTTTTTTAAAGTATGATTCACTCACGCATCAGTTGTTGCCTTTTGTTAACGGTTTTCCAAACAAATTCCATGGCGACTCGTTAGCAATTGGGTCACAAATCACTGGCTAAACAAAACCAGCATTCGATGTCCAACGCTGATTGACCGATGATGACCATTTAAGCCCACAGCGGGTTTTGCACTATTTGGCAAAAACCAAAACGCGGCTCAGAACTTTCGCAGCTGCTGCGACCGCTAACCAAGTGGAACTGTGGCCAAAGCCAAACGACACAAGGCCAAAAGCGAGCCGTGGCTAACTGGGCATCAATGGTAATGGAACCTCCATCCGGAACATCCATCGGCGACGTGTCGCATACGTTTTGGCCAATTCATGGCCCGTTCCCCCTTTTCTTCACGCATCATTAGTAATATGGTGTCTGAGGGAGATCTTCCAATGGCAGGGAGCGGATCGAATGATTACTTTCGGTCGGCCTATGCGGTAAAGCGATACGATTGCATGATGACATGACATCGCAATAACCAAAAACCTGCCACCGGTAAATTGACAGCACGCCATCCGCAAAACGGACGGGGGAAATTTGAGTATGAACTAATGAAAATAAAAAATAACCGCATGGAGTTGGAGTCGGATTCGAAGTGGCAGGCATTACCCGCGACTCTTGCTTTGTTGGGGGTCGCTCGAACCAGCTAATTTTAGTGGCACGAAACCGGGAAAATATGCTCATCGGGGTAATCGATACATGGGCCAACTTAAGCGACAGGCAGGAATCGAAAGGGGAATGATCCCAGGCGTGTGGCAGGCGAACACGAAGAAACCAGGGACTTAAGAGAAATTTTAGATGCATCTTTTAGTTCCTGGCCCATGAATTATAAGGATATGAAGTGCAGACAATGTGAGGAAAATGTATTACAAAAAACTGAAGTTTAAGATCCCACTTTTAAATTGAGAGACCTTATTCTTTCAAAGAAATAAAAAAAGCCAGTTAAACCTAAGACAGGTCAATAAGAGGCTTTGCAGAATGGTGTTCTGCCTTAAAAAGACAAATTTAGGAACTTAAAAAATGCAAAAAATTTATAAAACACTGTTTACTAGCCCAAATATCTATTTTATAATGCATGTAACTACATCAACCCAAGAAATAGATCTCAAATAGAATAATGTTCTGAACAAAACAGTTTACATCTTTGTCCTTTCATTTCGCATTATTAGACCTTAAAATAAACTGCAATTTACATGTCTATTACATAAACTTGCATTACCAACTTACACACAAAACGGGATAGCAAAAAAGGTCCTTTCGTCCTGGCGCGGAACAAGGACAAAACACATAAATCAGCGCCCGCAAATAGACGCACACACACACAGCCACACAAAACGTTGCGCTAAAAGTTTTTCCTTGTTTCACACAGTGTTAAAGAAAGAGGAAACGAAAAGTTTCCACCTTTTTTCGCTTAATTTAAATGAATGTACAACGGATTGAATCCTTTATTGGCTCTGAATGGAACACTCGTAATTAGAGACAAAGCTACAAAGCCATTGTTGACCTTTCACTCTGATTTGCTGTAACAATTCCCCATCCTCTCGCACTCTCGTTTAATTTATTTGTATTTTTCCACTCGCGTCGTCCTTGCCGGCGAAAAAAGGGATCGAATGGAACGGCCCAGCCTGGAGGAGCTCACGACGCACCCGCTGCCAAGGACCCAGAACAACTGAGTCGCCAAGCGAGGAGTCCGCAGGAGTTCGGCTTGCGTTCGGGCCACCTCGGCTCGTCCGCAGCCGGCGAATGCAGCACCATCTCACCATCGCCAGCCACATGTCCCCTCACCAGTGCTGCCCATATAGACATACATTTATTTGTTCGTATCTCGCAAGCTTCTGTAGCTAGCACAGTATAAAATTGCATAAATGAGTTTATTCCTTAGATTCAAAATAAAATTTCGCATTCATCGGAAAAATATTTGAGTTACATGCTTGATCAGCTGATCATCTTCTTTTTTCTGTTTTGCTAAAAAAAAAAGTTTAATTTTTTTTGCTGGAATTTAAGATTTACAATTTTCTGCTCATGGCCAAAAACTCAAATTTCAAACTTTCGCCACACGAAACGAAAAACTCTTCAGAACTTTAGGTTTTTAATTAAAAAAAAAATTTTTTTTTCTTTTTATTATCAAAATTTGTACATATTTTCAATATCAGATTATGGTTATACAAAAATAACCATATGGTTATTTTTATTTGTCAAAACTCAATCTAATTGAGAAGTCAAAGCAAACATGGAGTGGTTTCTATAAATGCGAGGGGGCTGTGTGTTTTATAACACGTGAAAACATAAAAGAAAATTACAAAACATTAAAATGTTGCTATGCTTGAAAAAAAATATTTTTTAATACTACATATATTATTTAGCTACTCTTTGTCCAACGCTGGGCATTCAACAAACAGCATCACTGCGATCTGCCTGGTTACGATGTGGCTGGCTCTGTTTTCATTCTGGTTGCCAGGTTTGGCTTTTGTATTTGCTTTGTCGGCGCCGTCAACATCAGAGCCACATAGTCATCGTCATCGCCATCGCCATCGCCGCCCCCTCACCTGAACAATCCCCCTGAACGCCTTGGAATGCGGAGGTGTTCGCCAAGTTGCCCCCTTAGCTTCCCTTTTCTAGCAGCAGCTGGAATTACTTTTGTTTTACAACTGGTTGAGGCGAAAAGCATCAACTGGGATTCCCAATGGCTCCTTGTTTGTCAAAGGAAGAAATGGCTGGGTTGTTTCCTTTTTTTTCAAGTGTTGACAGCTGTACTTATTAATTATTTCTGTTGCGTCTTACAGTTATTTGCAGAAGGAACCCGGAACTCACTTTCACTCATTTGTCTTTAAAATGCATAAAAATGCAGTCCAATTGAAAATTTTCAATCAATAGACGCATATTTGCATTTATTTTATTTTGATAGTGCTTTAGCTAGCTTAGTTTCAAATTTGTTTTACTGCATAATTGTTCTTTATTACATGTATTACAATATTCTTGTTTCCTTTTAGTTCAATGTTATTTTAATATTCTGCTCGCAATTGTAATTCCTAGACTGTGGGAAAGTTTTCTGCATTTCTAGCTTTTTTACAGCTTCCTAAAGTCTTTCTTTGCCAGACTTTGTAAGCGTCGTTTATAGCATTTGGCTTTGCACATAATATTTGTGTTTATTTGTTGTAAAGTTCTTGAACGTCGTTGGCCATGGACGAACCATTTCGGTTCCTTTACAGCCACAACGTGGAAATCTTCACCTTGGCATTAATCTGCGAACTTGTTTAAGGTTCTAACTCCTGTCCAGAATTGGGGAAAGGAATTAAAAGAGAACCTCGTTCGCCTTATTTTCTAGGAACCAAAACATAAATAAGGTTTAAATTTCCTTTATATTTCCTTTAAAATTACATAACAAGTTTTTAAACTCTCTGCGTTTTAGGTATGTATAAATACCTTTGAGGAATTTTGATTTTGCCGCATTTTGAATTCATGAAATCCTAGTAACAGTTTGTGAAGAATGAGTCTATTCTGCCGCTGGAGTGGACTAACCCTCAACGGCCTTTCTGCAATTTTTCTCAGGCGATTGCCAGCGAGCAATTAACTTTGAAAAATGCCTGGAAACAAGGGGAAAAAGGAGCAGGATCAAGACGAGGCTTGGAGGGCAGGTCCCTGATGGCTGATGACGGAAGACTGAAGACTGATGGAGGGCAGGTGGAAAGAGTGAGGAAATTGAGGGGGGGAGAGTGCATCTCGAGTGGCTGACTGGCTGGCAGCTTCAAGTGGCGAATAAGCTCCCCTAAACGGGACGAGACAAAAGAGCCCGGGAAGAACACTGGAGAAGGCCCCTCCAAGTAATCCCAGTAACTTCTAGCCATTTCAGCTGGCGACGGAGGGGGAGAAGGTCGTTGTTTATCGATTGCCAAGTAAAAGCAGCCATAAAAGGCAGAATGGAGAACAAAAACAGAGGCGGAAAGAGAGCAGTCGAGAATTGGCACAGGCCCTTGAAAAAGTTGTTGGCTCTGTTGTCTTCTGTTTGTTGTTAAGCCCACGCAAATGAGACGGCGACGACCGACAAACGACAACGAAGATGAGCCACAAAGACGAGCATGATAATTGCGATGATGGCCACATGGACGGAGCAAGTGCAAGTGAAGGCATTGGCAGGAAGGCGCGAATTATAGGGCAAAGCCCGGAGTCTGGAATCGAGATCAATTTCAGTAACATATTATAGATAACTTCTTATATCCTAAAAGTTGCAAGTCCGACTATACACTAATTCCTAGTCACACGTATAGTTGTTTGGTTGTTCAATATTGTCAATAGGCCATCTTAAGTAATTAGTTTTCATATTAATTTAATTTTTATATTACTAAAAGTTACTGAAACGACTATAGACTTGTAAATACTTTTCAGTACTTGCTCAATGCTCTCTCCTATTTATTTAATATGTTGCATTCCTTGATGGTTTTTAAATTTTGCATAAATGTTTCAGTTTTAACAAGGTGACTAAAAAAGGTCAGATAATAAGTTGGTAATACCGTATTTTCTTTTATTAACAATTATTAATATACATTTATGTCATATTTAATATTTTTCAGTATGTTTCTGTGTTTTTGTATTTGGTAATTTTATATTTATTTACTTTTGTAATTGGTTTGTGTCGAATGCAACAGAGTTTTATTAAAAAAAGTGTTGATTTCTTAGTGCTGAATACGTTTACTAAAAATATAGCTAAAAATTGCAAAAATTATCATTTTAATCATCGAACTCAAAAAGCTTGAAAACTCTGTATGTTAATCAATTTTAAACTTAAGACTTTTTACTGAAAACAATCAATTAAACCCTGTCATGCTAACTTTGATCCTGACATAATAACCACACACATTTCCAGTACCTTCACGCTGATATTTTATTTGTTTTTATTCGTACAGATTAAACTGCAAACAGATGTCTGTAAAGTTTTAATTCGTGTGTGTATATTGAAACCTTTTGCAACCCCCTATAAAAGTTTAATTTTGAGTGGAGCAGAGCATCTGGTTTTCGTGCTCCTCGGACCCTTGGTTCCTCCCTTCCCATCTCCTGGTCCCTTTTGCATTTACGGCCTGCCAAATGGGCATCTGGCATCCAACCGATTGAGGGCAGAGATTCGGAACTACGAGGGCCGGAAAGGAAAGACCAAGACCGGGTGAAAGGGGAAAGGAACGTACGTTGTCAAGCATCGAAAATGCGGACCGGACTGCAGACTGCGGACTGCGGGGCTGACTCATTGAACCACAAGATGAATACAATGATGCCAAATCAACTCGAACGAGTTTTTGCGGGCTGCAGTGCCAGTGGTTCCGTACCTCCACTTGTCCACTTTGTTTTCGGGTCAATTGCATCCCATCCTAGCCTGTTGGCAGCACTCGAAGCCAAAGCGACTTTTGAGTTTTACACTCGGCCTAAACGTGCAACGTGCAGGTTCCCCTGGAATACCGATTCTGGCCAAGTGCGTGCTGCGTTTGTCAAATTGCCAGTTGCCGCTGAGAGGCCCTATCCTCCGTTTTGGCCGCAATCTCGGGCACATCCCATTGCTGCACACAGGCCCAATTGCCCCAAACGACAGTTGACAAAAGCCAACCAACCAGGCTTCAGTGGCAGCAACAATAACATTAACAACCGCAACATTTGTAATGGAAATTCCTGCATTGAAATCTCGTTTCATTTCGTTTAGCCAAAGTTACGGTTTTGTTTTGGTTAATACCCTCTATGGAGGGTATATGGATTTTCGCAAAACTGTCTCTAATCAGATGCTTAACGATTATCTAATATTTAACGAAATCGTTTGCATAGGAAAACCAGTTTTAGATTGCAAAACTTGCTTATTCTGCAGTATTCTTTAATTACACCTGAATCTAGCTTGACTTTAGAATAGTTCCAAACGATTACACGTGGAATAAATTAATGTAAAGGCTTTTTGAATACTTGTATGTGTAAAACTTTGCTTGAAAATTATATAATAATTATAATGAATATAAAACTTTACTAGGATGTAAGGAATTGTTTTTCCTGAATAACTTCTGATCTTATATATTAATTCAAAGCATAACCCTTAAATTAAATGCCTTTTTAAGTTCACAACTTTGCCCTGCAAGGGTATTAAAAGGCTTAGAACGCCAGGACTTGGCTTTGCTTTCCGACTTTTTTGTTGGTTTAATTTTTTGTGGTTGGTATTTGATTTTTTTTTTTGCCAGCTGTTGACTGCAAGTGGCACCGGCTTTGTTGCTTTTATTGGTGCTTTGCCGTGGCTTGGGATGCTTTTGTTGGTGCTGTAACTGTTGCGGTTCCGTCAACGTCATCATCATCCCCGGACGACGTCTGCCACCATCACCCTCGAGGAGTCATTGAACCCGCCTGCCAGCTCTCAAATATACCACACAGAGGACCCGGCCGACACTAAGCATATTCAGCTCCATTGGCCACCATTGACCACCGACGGCGTGGGCGGAGTACAAATTTTAGACCATTACATTTGATGATCGATCGATTGTGTATGATTATAGGAGAATTTTTGCCCGCCGCAGCTTTTCCCTGTCAGCGAAATTGGATGCCCATGCAAATGAGCCATACGATTCTGGAAATGTGTTTGGCGTGTCCGATTAACATACGACCTAATGTTTAAAAATTGCAAATTAGCAAAAACCAAATAGACTACAATACAGTCAACAGCATGGGAACTTGGATTTAGGAATCTCGTGTTTATGTTCGTGCCAAGCCAGATCTTAATCGGCTAGTGCGAATTTAGTTATACGTCGCGACACGCAAAGAAATAAAACTCACTTAGAATGGATTTAGTACCTGTCTACAACAACTAAACACAAAAAGAAAACTAAGCAAGGCCAAAAAAGTTGAAAAAGAAATTAAGTACCATCAATATATGGGACTATACCTATAACAAGTTAATAATGTTCTTAGTTCTAAAACATTTTAAAAAATTAAGCCACTATTTTTCTTACAAATCAAATATTATTAAACATATTGCCTTCAATTAAACAACAGTTATTTTCATCAAAATATTTATAGCTACTTACATGTATAAATTATATAATGCTATGTATGACATAACCAAATTTTTTATACCTCTGTTGTGTCAAAAAAAATATTGACTGCAACATTGAGTAAGAGAAATACACTTTATGATTTATTTAAAATCGATTTCGACTGAATTTAGTTATATCTTATTTTAAGAGGTGTTCTTTCTAGCAACAAAGCCTTGAAATTTCTTTTTCAAATTGACACACCGCACTCACAAATATTTAGTTAATAAAAGGGTTAAGTGGTTCTGTAAATTCAACATAAACAGAGACCAATGGCTTCTAATTAACACGTTGCTATTGTAGAAATAACAGGCGTGCGAAAATCCAATAGTCCGAGCCAACAAGAGACCCTAAATCCAGATGGTTAGATTAGGAGGGGGCTTGAAAGTGGGGAAAGAGTAATATAGAATAGAAAGCGCCCCTCGCGCGAGAAAGAAAAAAGTGAAACGGACACCACAACAATGAAAAAATCAATTTAAATTGAATTATACAATGCCAGCGGAGCAGGGAACTCAAACAAAAGCGAACTGCATGGCACAACAGAAGTCAAAGTAAAAAACAAAAATAAAAACAAAAACAAAACGAGATGCTCAAACGGGTTTACCGCTCCCCCACCTCCTATTCACAAAGATATGTTATGGTGTTTAAAAAGATGAAACGATTCTCAATGAATTCTCAATGGCCTAAGTATGGTATCGAGTAGGGCTAAATAAAGATGAGCTGCATAAATTGCCCCCCTCTTATTTTCATCGTCTTGCGTCTGCAATTTTGTAACACTTTGTCTGCTCCGATTTTATTTTTGGCCAACCCCGTTGCAAATCGAGTTCAAAATCGGTCTAGACGGATGATTTAATTGGGCCCCGCAAACAAAAACAAACACAAATTTTCTTTGTTTGGTAGACGACAGTGAAATCCGGTTTGGGGGTGGATTCTATATTGATTGTTGCAGGTCCTACAATACTGGCTTTCGATTTCTCACCTTTTGTTGAACTCCGAATTTGCTAATAACTTTTCCGGTTTTCCTGACTTTCCACGCACACACACATGCCCTCGCCGAACAGTTACAAATCTCCTGTAATCCTTCACACACACACGAGACCTTGTGTACATACACCCGCACAATAACAATTAAAAGGTAAAAAATTAATGAAATCAGATAAATATATTTGGCTAGTTGACTGGCTTCCTATTTAACTAACACTTGATTTGAATTATCTCGAGTATTACTCGCCGTTGCGAGGAAATATAACGCGAAAATGCGACCGAACGTCGGTGTTGTTTGGACGAAAAAATTCAAAATTGAAAACTTGGTATGACCGTTAAGCAAATCTGGAAAAACCATCGATAATACCGAAATGTTAGCGAAACGTCGAACTAACAGAGAAATGTTAGACAAACGTCTAACTAACAGAAGAATAGAAGGAGAGATATAATAAAAAATCAATTTAAGCGAAACTGCGAACAGAAAGAAGACGAAGGAGAAAAATGAATCAACGTTCCCTAACATATCAGTTAAAACTGAACGCTTCCTAACATAACTGTTAAAAATAATTATTTTCCTAACAGAAATGTTAAAAATCAACGATTTCTTAACAGAAATGTTTATAACATAAAGCGCGCAATTCAAAACTACTCGTAGTTTTTTTTAGAAAAAAAAAACTTTTTAATTACTTTTTGTCTAATAAACAATTTTGTCCGTATCATAAGCCCTTTATGCGTTTATTCTGAACGTAAACGTATTATTTAAAGGATTTCCTCTCCCTTCATTGCGCAAATCTAATCTTAATATGTATGAATACTTGTATCCTAAAACATTTCTTACAAACACTACTAAAAAGATTTATATTTTAAACAAAATACAATTACATTTATTAAAACACTAATATTATAAAATGTACTGATCATGTAACCTAAAATAAGATACAGGAATAGTAAAAAGAAATTAAGCGCCTAAACAAGATTTTAGTAGTAGTTCTACTTCCATTCGATAATTATTCGATAAATTTTAAGTTTTTGTAATAGAGCTCTTTTATTAAATTCATTGTCGGAATATAGAAAATAGTTAAGAATTAATGGAAAAGTCCAGTTAGTAATGGAAAGTTCTAGTGGATTCGATACCTATCGGTAACGTTTATTTGCAATGCCACCTATCGGTAACGTTCAATTGCAGAAATTCGAGCACCATTTGTTAAATTTAAATTCCATTTAAATTTGCCGTTCGCCGCCGTCTATTCCTCGTCAAAGTCATCACCCGGAATCGGTCGTACGGGTCGTATCATCATGCGCGATTCTTTCGGTTTGGCAGTTCCGTTTCGCCAATTCAACCAAACGATTGCTGGACTCACTCTCTGGTGGACACCATGTTCTCCATTCAGATTGGACCGTGTGCAGCGGCCGAACCACCAACCTCCGCCGTAAATCTCGGCACAGTCGGGATCCCCGGAGGTCCCATGATCGCTCCGACGATCGTAGGTGCTGAAATCCAGTTGATTGTGCTGCTCCAGGGCATCTGGCAGCGAACCCCGAAATCCGCCCTTCACCAAAAGCTGATAGTTGTAGCTCTCGCTGTCCAGCCGGAACATGGGGTACTCCGCCCAATCCATCGGTTCGTGCTCCTCCTGCAACTCCACTCTCAGCTCATGATCGTCGCGATAGAGAATCTTGTGGATGAACTCGTTGCCAAACCAGAAATTCCGGGACAGATTGCCGAAACCCGCGCGATACTCATCCCAACTGCGATTGAAGTTCTCGGGGGGATCGAGGGCGCCACCTCTGTGCTGGATCACCGTCCAGGCGGGACCATCGGTGGCGAAGGCGCAGTAACGCTCGTACAAATCTCGCTGGACTTCATTTCGCTCCGGAACCAGAAACCTATAGACGCCATCCACGCGAACATTTTCATCCAGTTCATAGCAAGCCGATTTGGCAGGCTGGTAAAAGTCTAGACAGGATTACCAGGTGAGTAATCATAGTATATAAGGTAAATCAACTTACCAACTCTTGGCATGCCCTTAACTTTGGGAACATCTATTGAATCAGACCCATTAACTGACCCACTTTCCTGAGCAATATTCCCGATGATCTTTCGATCCAGTCGCCTCGACAATTCAGCCAAATGATCTTCTTTAGAGAAGGATCTGCCCGTTGGAGGCACATCCGCATGGAAAAGATGCACCACCCTGCTCAGCACACGATGCAGATTGATCTCCAAACCTCTTAGCCTAAGATCCTGCTTATCCAATGACTTTCTAATCAAGATCAGCTCCTCCAACGATTTTAAGCCAATATCAGACTTTTTCAACCGACTCAAAGTGTGAGTGCCGCCCAGGAAAACCGAAATCCATGCGAGGACAAAAACCAAAGAAAGCTTCTTTAAATAAAAAACCAAATTATCAGTCCTTTAAGGCAATCTGTTTTCCGAACTTACCACCATCTCAATACCAAGTTCAGTCACCAACTAATGAAGTCAGCTTGAAAACTTTCCCACACACATGTTGCCAAAAGTGCACCATCTGCTGATGATCCCCAATAGATCATTTCTGGCTGTCCATGCCATGTGTGTCATTTTTACGAATATATAATTCTGTATTTCTGCGGTCCTTAGTTAAACTTCACATTTCTGTTGTATTTCTTTTTAAGTTTTAACGAATGAATCTGGTTTCTAGCTTTGCGGTGAAACATACGCATTAGATGGTAAAAAACGAAATTAGAATAAACATTTTTCACGGACATAGCCGCACTAGTTTTGCTTGTGGTTTTGTTTTTTTTTTTTTTTTGTTTTTAATTGCTACAATTAGCCACTAACGTTTAAAGTAGAAATGAAAACGCCTAAGCAACTAAAATACATATACATACATTTATCGATCGATCGTTTTTCACATTTCACGGCTCTCGAATTCCTCTCTATACATTTACAGTTGATAAACTTTTGTATTAAGTTTTAATAAGAAATAAGGGCCTAAAGCCAGCTGATTAATTGTTAGGCTAGAGGCCAAGGGGTAAGCTTGATCAATTTACAGAAAATCGCTTTGTTTTGTTTAATTGTTATAACGTTTGTGTGCAGGTGCGAATACATTTCAAGTCTTCTGCTATCTGCTCCCTTGGCATTTACATGTTTATGTATGCATATATATATATATATATATATTAAATTTAAATGTGTTTGTATATATATATATTTAGATTACCTTAATATTTTATCATTAGCGCACTTTGACTTGAAGCCCAAGTGGGTTTTGTTGTTTCTGCTTAAGCGCTGACCACTTTCCGAACCGAACACACCCACCACGCCCGCACGGCTTGGTAAGTGTGTTCGATGATCTCTTTACCATGGCCGATTATTAGTTTACATGTATCAGTAACTGCTTAGCTCTATATGTTTAGCTTTTATTTACATTGAATATTTCAAGATTCGCTCCTGCTTCTGTTTGTTTGTGTATATAGTATGTATATGTTGTGTTTTGCTTATCTCTGCTTTTGTGGGTTCGTAGAACTAAATAACTTAGACGATTGCTTAGAGTAGGCAATGCTGTTGTGAGTGCAAATCAATCCGTTAAAAACAAGTTAAAATTGTTGCTCTGCGCCGGCTGATTTGTGTTGTGTGTGTGTTTTGGGGCTTAAAAAATTGACAAATCGTTTAAAAGACTTGAATCACGAAAACGAAAGTTATTTGCTTTGGGTTTGCTCTTAGATGCGTCTGCTGCGAACGCCCTCGGTCCGGGTCTTCCACTCCGGATCGTTAGGATCGTCGTCCTCGAAAGGATCATCGGCCATGTCCTCCTCGAGCGCCTCCGGATCGCCCAGATAGGCATCGATCGCCGCATCGTACAGATCTAGCTCGGCATCCGGAGTCGATTGCTCCTCATCGTCCATGGGCGCCAGATGATGCTTGGGGTAGTCGTCGTCCTCCTCCTCCATCACCATGTCCTCCTCTTCCGGCTCCGAAATTCCACTCTCCCTCGTCCCATCTGCCCCGTTTATCTTCGCTGCCGCAGGATGGCCATTGAGCTGGCCATTCAGCTTAATCTTCGTCTTGCTGCTGCGCCGACTACCGCTGCCTCCCGTGGAGCTGCTCCCATCGCAGTTCGAGGACACCGACTTGCTCTTGGCCCGCTTAGAGCCCGACATCGCATACGTCTCGGCCAGCATTTTCTGGTAGACCTCTTCGGAGAGTGGAAAAGTCAGGGGTTCGAAGACCGAAGGCATCACTGCATAGGGCTGTCCATGAAAAAAGGATTGTTTCTATTAGGCAGAGTAGATTTATATATTATTTTAAATAACTAGTTTTACTTGGTGGATAATTGAAAAGTATTATTCGGAAGAATATCGATTTTCAAAAGTTATTCAACAAGTAGTCAAGAAAAGTTATGTGAAGAAATCGGAAATCTATTATTAATTATTAAATTTCATGCATACAATTATTTTAATATTTAAAAATTACGTTTTGGTTGACTTATGACCAAGACTTTTGATTAAAACTTGGGCAAAAAATAATATAATTTAATAATAATAATTTAAATCTAAACCAACAAGTAGTTCTCAGAAGTCTTAAAAGACACACAAAATATTGCATGATTGTTTCGGCGTTTAGCCGACCCTCTTTTCGACTCACCTCCCGCAAATCGGGCGTGGTGCTGCGCCGTTCCACCTGATCCTTGAGCTTGCTGGACGTGGTCCGGCGGCGGGCTTGACGCGCCTGTCCGCCCACCAGCAGCTCGCCGCTGTCGTTGAACCCGTCCATTGGATGGGCCAGCGGCGAGGGAATGCTTTCGTTGTCGTGCCCAATGCCGCCCATGTGCGGAGCTGGCGAGGCGGGATCTGGTGTGTTGGCGCCACTCGACTCTGCGCGACTATCGATGCGTCGATTCGCACGCGATCGAGTGCTCCAGGGGAACTTGAGGAAGGTCTCGAAACGGCGGCGTTCCTCGATCAGAGCGCGCTGATGTCGCATAATGAAAGTCTCATCCGAGAGATCCTCCTCGCCTTGCTCCTCCTCCCCCTCATCATCGCGGGTTTCCGACTGCAGATCCACCACCTGACCATTGGCTTTGGGCTTAATAACCTCCTCGTCGGCAAGCTTTTCCAGCCTGGGTCGCTTGGGCAGTGGTTGTTCTGTGTCTGGGTGGGCGATTTCCAACTGCTTTTCGGCCATTTTATCATTCACATTTTTTGCGATGTTGCCGTTGAGCTTGGGCTTGATCCCCTTTTCCTTCTGCTCGTCCTCCGCTGCCTTGGGCTCATCTGTCTTGACATTGCCATTTACCAGTCCATTTCTATTATTATTTTTGTTGGTATTGTTATTGTTATTGTGCTTTGCAGTCTGTTTGTCCCTCAGGCCATTAACCTTTGGAGGCTGCACGGCCGACTGTTGTTGCGGTTGTTCTTTTGGCTGGGTGTTTGTTAGCTCCTCTGACGTTGATGCCGCACAGCCATTGCTCAGTTTACGCTCCGTTGACTCATCCGCCGAAAGTTTTGCCTTATCGTTATCACTGTCGACAATGCGCCACCTAAAAGTAAAGATAGTGGTGGTCATTTAAATGATTATTGTTTATGAGTACACCACCATTTACATTGAATACTTACTTGGGTATGGGGATCTCCTTGTAGGGAAGAATCTCCATTTTCGACTGGGCCAACATGCTGTATGGTATAACGATGTTATTGATGTCGTAGATGGGTCGAACGCGGCGCTCCGAGGTTCTGCAAAGGAAAACAAAGAAATACATTAAAAACCTTATTTAAATTCTTTTTGAATACCAAAAAACTACGCGAATTTTTTTGATTAAACTAACCAAATCCTGGTTTAAGGCAATATTTCTAAAGAACTAAGAGCATTTTTTCAAGACTCATTTTTCATGTTTGTTTACTATTTCTTTTTTTCGTTTTTTTATTTTAAGATTTCATATGCAATTTCTTTCTAATTTATTCCTGGTTTGCAAAGCTTCAACCTTATTTATAATCCATATGTGCTTACTTCTCATTTCGATGGCTGTGGGTGGGCGATGAGTTGCGGCGACTCCTGCTCTGTTCCCCCCACTGATCACCGTAGCCGTTTAGATGATGGTTGTTGATGTTGCTGCCGTGCTGTTGCTGCTGCTGTGTGGAATTGCTGCTGCTGTTGTGGGTTGCAGATTTGCGTGACTTCTTAGAGCCGCTGTGTGCCGAGATCGAGGTTGAGGAGGGACTGTGGTGGCGTGGTTGTTGGCGTTGGCGAGAGTCGGGCCACAGCGAGCTGGAATTGCTCGCTCCAGTTGGGTGTTGTGGTTGTCGTTTGCCCTTGGCCGCTGCTGCTGTTGTTGTTGCGTTTAATCCGTGATTTGAATGCGGAACAGGGACGAAACGGAGACAAAGAACGGAATGGCAAAATAAAACAATTGGTGGAGTTTTGGTCGTTGTTGTTGGTTGGTTGATTTGATTTGGTTGTTGGTTGTTTTGTGGTTGTGGTGTTGTGGAATTTCGTGTTTCGGTTGATCGATGTAAAGAAAAAGAAGAAGAAGAGATGCAAAAGATTGTTGTTGTTTTATGTTAATAACAATTATCGAATTTCGTCATGTTTACAATAATTTACTGTTGGCCACAAGTGGCGTTGTAGTAGGCGTAGTAGAAGAAGAAGTAGTAGCAGTACCAGTACCGTTTCCGCTATCCCCTCCCCCGACGCCACCGCTTTCGCTTCCGCCTGCTCCTCCTGCAGCGGCAGCCTTAACTCCGCTGCCAGCCTCCTTATTTGAGTTGTTGTTGCGCTCCTTGCGTCGTATATAACGCCGCTTGACCGCATCGCCCGACCGTCGGCTGCCCGCCTGCCCGCCGATTCCGCCGGAGGCCAGCGTCTCGCGCTCCGCCTTCCACATGGCCTTGACAATGGCCTTGGCCTGGCTGCGCATGACGCGGTACTGCCAGTCCGGCTGGCGGGCAACGGACTCCAGGTGCACCGACTGGCTGACATCTGCAAAAAATAACAAGAGAGAAACAATGTTAATTTTACGTTCAAGTAATTAAATGTACTCCAGGCATATTCTCTGGGTTTAACTTTTCCAAAAGAGCAATCTATTTTTAAGATATAATCCAAATTTCACATGCTCAGCATTATTAAAAATATTAAGAACATTTATTTTCGACTTTGTGTATATATCAATAGTATCAAAAAAGGTAATCTTAAGAAGCCTTAAAAAAGGCTTGAAACGAAAGTTATTTCTGTTATTGTATCATTTAATTGACAGTTAGCTGTCAACATAATAATTTAAAGAATTTTTGATTTTAAATAATACCAATATTTCCCTTTAAATGTTATTTATTCAATCCTTTGCAAATTTAGCTTAACAGCCAACGAAAGCTAGAGATTGAAAACAGTAGGTTATTTTCAAAAGTGAAACCCAGAAATACCATTTTCGTGGAATCTTCCACTCACCACTGGGGAAGCTGAGCACTGGATGGTAGCCAGCATCGAGCAGAGCCACCCGATTGGCCGGCATCATCGTTTCGACCAGATCACGGGGCGCTGTGGGATCTGTTCGACCCGTGCACAAGGTGCATGGCACCTGCGGCCACTGGCAGCCGCATTTGATGTTGCTGGGCCGCGCGGCCTTCTTGGAAATCGTGTGCATGTTGGTGGTCTGGAAGAGCTTGCGCTTGCGGAACTCGGAAAGCACCAATGGCCTGGCCCGACTGCAGAGATAGTCGGCTTTGGGCTCCTCCATGATCCCATTCGCAGGTGGTGGCGGCGACGGCGATGTCTTGGATGTGGCCTCCAGCTGAACCTCGCCCTTGGATTGGGTTAGCTCCACGAAGAGGTCGTTGTGCTGTCGGATCTTCATCTCCAAGTCGGCCAGCTGGGAGCAGAGCCACGACCAGCGCAAGGCTATGCCTGCCCGATCTTTCGAGTATCGCCAAACAGCGCGTCGAGTGCTGGAAAAATAGAATTGGAAAATGATTTTAATAATCAGAAACTAATGTGCTCTTATTTGAGATAGTTAACAAGAATCTCGCTATGAAAAAGAACGCATAACGCGAAACTTTTGCCGTAGTTTAATAAAATTTTAAACCAGAAATAAAGCTTTCTTTACTTAGGAAACAAGTTAGCGTCAAAGGAAAATACATTTAATAGAAAGTGTATTGTTCTTTGCATTATACAATTATTATTTGTTGACAAAACGTGGTTAAAAATCAACTAATTCAACGGGTTATCAAAATAGAGATAGTTTAAAAAATGTATTTTTGGGAGGAACTCCCATTATTCCTTTGTTTGTCTGAAACACAATCGAATTCACTGATCTATAAACTGTCAGAAGGCTACGAAGCTCAAATTCCAAAACACCCAAACGAAAGGGAAACAAATTGATTATTAAATCGCTTCCAGCATTTACAGATATAATTCAGAATTCAATAAAGCAAGATTGGCAAACTGTACTCACATGGCTAGCGGCAGCTGCTGTGAGTTGTTGTAAGTGACCATTTCGTCGGCGGACTCGCCACCAGAACTGGATTCCGTGGCGTCCGAATCGATGGCGTTCTGGACCTCTCGCAGCTCCGTGTGCAGCAAACCGGCCACATGGTTTAGCTCGCTCGTCACGTAGGTGTCGTAGCCGGGCACGATGTCATCCGCCCGCGGCGTATTTGCATCCTTTGTGGCTCCCATCGTGACTGTCGCCAATCCAGATGCTGACGAAGATGCAGATGCTGCTCCCGTTGCCAACGTAGCATCCAATTGATTCTTTCGCGGCCGCTTTCCCGGCAGCGCTGAGCTGTTGGAGCTGTTGTACCAACTGGAGGATGGGGCCAGCGTAGCTGAGCTCCCGCTGGCTGAATGGCAGATCTGCTGGTGGCGGGCAGCCGTCGCAATATGCCTGATCACGTTACTCATCTGACTGGCGGGCAGCGGATGCTTGTTCTGCTCCTCCCAGAAGGCTGCGCCCGGACGGCCGGAGACAATCGATAGGACGGTGGCCTCCTGCTCGGACAGCGTGGCACTCAACGCCGGAATGGGCGCCTTGTGGGAAGTGCGAGCGGACCACTCAAAGATGCCGACCACCTCCTCGCTGGTGTGGCGGCACATGTGACGCGCCTGCTGCTTACGCATCCTGCGCAGCATGAACTCAATCCGGCGCGAGATCAAGTAGTGCTGCTGCTCCAGCTCAGCGTGGCTCTCCTGCCAGGGCCGCTGCTCCTGCTTGATATTCACATTCGCTTGGGCAATGTTGCTACTACTGCTGGCAAGGATTTGGCTGTTGCCACTGCAGCTGGGCTTTACGTCCGGCAGCTCGGCCACATTTTCAGGAGCTGCCGCAGGCAACGGAGCCACCGGTGTCGACTCTTCCCACACATCGTCGAAGAACTCGCAGATGGTATCCGGATTGACATGGCCGCCATCGAATGTCTTCAACGCCTTAAGCACCTCCTCGATGTCCTGATCCTCTAGTACAGCGCCGGCGGCTCCGTCTTTAAGAAAATTAATGGAACTGGTAGTGCTTTGCGGTGTCATCTGATGCAGTGGCTGCTGCTGGGTTCGCGTCGACTGGGGAGAATCCAACTGGGCACTGAGTGGCGGCTGCTGCGGCCTGCTTGGCGTGACGGGATGTGGAACAGGAGGCGGAGGCGCAGACTCCTCGGCCATAGCACTGGCATTGCCATCCAGCTGACTGAGGCGCTCTGAAACAGCAAGCCATGAAAACATTAAGCTGGGTCATTTCATTTGGAGTAACGTTGTAAACTTACCCTCTATGTTATCCGTTTCTATCTTTGGCAGCTCCACCGCTGAGGATACGGAGGTATCTCCTGACAAACCGCTTCCGGAATTCGCAGAACTGGTGGCCACTGCCAAAACCGAGGCAGGCGTGGACGGTTCTTTACCCAGACTCACATCCGGCAGGGTTTTCCTTAGGCAAATCTCTGCGGAGATCGTCTCCTCAAAGTTGATGGTCAGATCTGCTAGCAGCTGGGCCGTGGAATTGTCCTTGGGCGTGGAGCTGTTGCTGGAGGAGGTGCTGTTGCTACTGTTGTTGTTGTTGTTGTGCTCCACGGTAGAGGTGGAGGCCACCGCAGCATCCGTCGTGGAATTGGGATTACTGCTGCTGCTGCTGCTGCTGTGTGGAGTGGGGGCGGTGCTTATCCCCATTGGATCATTACAGGCTTTAACGCTGATGGACTTCCGTTTGTTATTGCTTGCTGGCGAGGATCGCTGCTGCGGGGAGGCAGCCACTGAGGCCGCCGCCGCAGACGAACGGGTGACCCGCGTGGTGGCCGTGGCTGGCGTGGGCGTCGCCGGCTTCTTGGCCACTCCGGCCGCTACTCCTCCAATTCCTCCGCTTTCCGAGGAGCTGCGGGCCGAGGGCGAGGCTGTGCTGGTTAGCTTCTCCTTGGGACTTAGTGGCTCGGCTGTGAGCGCTGGGGCCATCGTTTTGATGCTAATGCGGCGGCCGACTGCTGCGGCATTTGGTCCGCTCGATTGCTGCGGTTCTCGATGCTAATCCTGTTCAAGATTTGAAAACACGGGCTATTATTTCGACAAAGCGACAGGCAAATCAACTTTTTGAAGAAAAATGCTAGGCTCACTATTTGGTTTTTGAAAAGCCCCCAACAGAATACTGCGTTATCGGGTAAAAGCCGTTTATATACATTTTTGTATATTTTTTTTATCTCAGTTAAAACGCCCGCCTCCCAAAGAAATCGTTTTTTTTTTTTGTCTTTTCCGGCGTGTTATGTACATATGCTATATGTACACACACACACATAGCGACGCGCTGGCCAACGGGAGAGGCAATAAGAGCGAGAGAGAGGTCAGAACGCGCGCTATTGCACACTATGATGCGCAATAAAAAAAACTGTATAGAACCCGCACACACAGACGCACAGACAGACAGACTACTTTACATACTGACGAAATCATTGCGGTTGCTCTCGAAAATCAAAATTTTTCAAGATTTTGCATCATCTGCTGGCGGGAAATTGCCGCCCAGGTCTCCATGTCTTTATGTAATTTTCTTTACTAAGATTTTCCACCACAATTAGCTCTATCAATCGGAAACTCGCGCCTTTACATACATACATACATACACACACACACACACACACACACACACACGCACGTGCAACTGTGTGCTCCACTATTTTCAGTTATTTACACAATCGCATTTATTGTATTCCACATGTCTTAATTAATTCGGATCAAATTCAAATCGGATTTATGTATTCTCTACTCAATATTTTGCAGAATCTAGCGAAAATGGGAGTAAGGAAACGTTTTCAGCGCGAAAGTATTCACTAACACATGCACACACACCGATGGCAGGCAGCACGCAAGAATTTGTAAATTGCTTAAAAATTAGGTATATTTTTTTAGTTATACGCACAATTTCGGCCGATCCGCAAAAGTGCCCTCGCACAATTGGCAAAAATAATTTTGCTTACACAATGGCGTGACTCGCACGGGGGAATTATTACGGTACGGTTCTCTTCACGGATTTTTTTCCTCATTTATTTTTTTCATTGCTTTGCCAAAACGACGTGTATCGAAGCTGTACGCGTTTCTGTGCCAGACCAAAGTACGATGCCACTACGATGGCTGTCTCTCTCTGACACATGCGCCGCCTATGGCGGTGGCGCGGCGCAGGGCCCAGTGTGCGAGCGGGACAACTATTTAGTTGGGATGTGGTAAATTTATCGATATTTTTACGAAAAAATATTCATACTGTGATTTTTAATTTTTTCTATCGATATGTTTTTTGATATAATTTGTTATTTGCTCTGAATAAATGGAAAATTCCATTAATTCCAGCATTAAGAAATTGTACTTGCTAGAAATAGGTGATCTTAGAAACATAGAAATTTAAATAATAAGTTCAAAACTAGTGGGCATACTTAATTTCAGCGGCGGGGCAAACACAAAATGCAAGTCTGCGCCGTTCCCGAGTTTTGTTTATGTTTTGAACTATGTACATATATTTGGTGTGGTACTTTTTAGGGTTTTTTTTTTTTAAATAAAGCCTCCATTTGCTTGAAAACTGTTCTAACGTCTAATATCGAAACTATTAAAAGTATATGCATTGATTTCCCGCGCTGGTGTGAACTCTGCCTTGGAGATCTTCGAACTGGGACTTCCTTTGGTCTGGAGCCAATGTTTCCTGCAATGTATTGTGGATGATGAATAGTTTCTGCCAAAAGCCGGCGGCATTAGTATTACATTTCATTAAGCTCCGCCAGGGGAGCCTCCAATTGTCCTTTGACCGTTCCATCCTGTGTATTCATACACCAGCCTTTGACACCCAAGTTATTCGCCGCCTTTTCGGTGTACTAGATCAAAAGGGGGATATCTTTGATAATGGATATAAAAATCCGGGCACCTACCTTGCGAAAAAATACACCTGCAATGGTTGAAAAAGAGTTAGATAAATCAGATCACTGGTGAACGACAAAATACCTTGCACTCGTCCAAACACCTCGAAATTGCAGGCGAACAACTGCTTGACAACTTCAGATCCTGCCATTATGTCGTCGGGATCTAGTTTTCGAAGCTCCTCTGAACTACCAGAGCCTGGCAATATCAATAAACACAATAAACCCAAAGATCTGCCAACCAAAATAGAATTATAAAATATGGCCATGGTGACCGTAGCCAGGGCGATAACACATACCAGGGCGGGTAAAAAAAATACCAAAATATGCATATCGTGTGCATCGATATATATCGATGCTAGCTGAAGTTAACCGTTGCTTTTTGACGACGGGTCGCCATTGCGCGTAGTTTGGAATTTGTAAATATATAAGAAAGAACTCTAAGTCCGGTAAGTATTCCCATTCTAATTTAAGCTGTGTACCAAATAGTGCATCCATTACGTGCAACTAGCATTTCAGTGCTGGCTAAGAGGCAGCAATGGTGGGGGCAAAAAAACGAGCTGGCGGGCAGCTTGAGGGCTCAGTTCAAGCAAAAGCGCCAAAGCAAAGTACAGTTGACGAAAATCAGAAGAGTCAAATCCCTATCGAAAAAGTGGAAGGGGCTACAAAATTCAAAATTCCGGGAAATCCTGCGCCACACGTAAAGGTTGCTAAAATCGGGGCGCCAAACAAACACCAACCCTCTGAGCCTCCAAAAAATAAAACGTCAAATGGGGCTCCGAAACCTCCGCCCCCCTCCTCCGCGGAGAAACCCAAAGGCAACTCGGGAAAAACAACGCCCCCCGTCTCCGTGGAGGCAACGAAAAAGAAGATGAAAAAATCGCCCAAAAGCCCGGAAAAATTGTGGAAAGCTATTCAGAATTTGTCGCCCGGTACCGGAATAATACTTGATAGCTTCATGAAGGAACACAACGATTTGCTCAAAAAGCTTAAAAAGAACGACATGATCATTGCTAAAAAAATGCGAGCCCATGCGGTTGAATCTTTAAACAAAAAATCCGAAAATATAAACCTAACGAAAATGTAAGACTTGCCATTTTTGTAAAGTTCCGACTTTCAGTGAATACTTTCTTTCAGGTTGGGCAAAGCGGAGCAGGATTTGACCTTTTTGAAGAGGGAACTTGTCGAGCAGCAAGAAAAGAATGCAGAGAATTTTAATAAGTATAAAAAAGTCAACAAAGAGTATATAAATTGCGAGAAAAACTACGAAAAGGAACTGAAGATCATTAAAGCGTGTGTGGAGAAGCAAAATGCCGAGCTTAAAGCCTATCAAACTCAAGTTGCTGCACAGGATTGCGAGGTAAGGTAATCCTCAAAATCGAAACCTTCTCCACAAAAGCTATTTTTTTCAGCTGAAGAATTTACAGCAAACCAATCGCGAACTGGCTGCTGTCGTCGGCGAAAATCAGATTGAACTGGAACATGTCCAAGCGGCTAACACTGAGATGGTGGAGTACAATAATGAAGTAACAAGGGAGTTCGAAGGCCTTCAGCTAAAATGTGAAGCTATGACTGAACAAATAGAACTTTGCGAGGTAATAAATAAAATCCAGAAGTATTTCCACGTTTTCATAGCCAACCAGAATACATTCGTATCCCACCCAAACAAAAGATTTTTTCAAACAAACTAAACTATTGTTACTATTTTTGTGGCTTGAAAATAAGGTCTTAGGACTACAGTTTTTGACCTTTCGGTTTAGAAATTAAACAAAAAAGTAAAGGGGCTTATTATATAGTATTAATACTTATACGTTAAAACGTTCTGTAGTTTATTTTTAAGACACACCGATCAAAACAAAACTTTTTTTTTTTGGGTGTGACTATTCCGACCATATTTTTCTTTCAGGCAACGATTTCACAGCTGGCGACCGAGATCAATGAAAAGAATATGACCTGCGTCGAACTTGAAGAGCGCATTAGACAGCTCCCAATAGAAAACAATAAGGTTTTATCAAAACTCCAAAATGATTTAGAAATCAGCAAAATAAGCTGCCTGGAGCACCAACGGTTGACTGATCAAGCCTCAAAAGAGCTTGAACTAGCCCAAAATGAGATAAACACTTTCAAAACCCTTTTGGAGGAAAGGGATAGAAGCATTGTCACTCTCCAGGACGAACTTAAAGAAATAAAGGCAAAACTGGGCGAGCAGGTTGATATCAACGAAAATTGTGATCAAGAATTATTTGAATTGAAGTTGAAACACTCACAAGAACTAGATAAACAAGCGAGTGCTCACGAGGTAGGTTGAAAAATACATACATATATATAATTTTACTTCCCTTATCTTTGATTATTACATCTTCTATTAGATCGCTCTTTCGGAGCTGAAAGGCTTATTGGACAAGGGGACACTTGAATTTACGCAGCTGAAGAACAATTTTGAAGAAGTACAAAAAGAAAATCTTCTTAAGGTCTCCGAACTTCAAGGAAAGCTTAATGAAATGGAGTTGCAGCGTACCAAGCATGAGGAGATGATCGAAAGTCTTTCCAAAGAGCTTCAAATGAAAACTAGTAGCTATGAGGAAGAACTGAAGAAACAGCACCAACAACTAACTAATCAAATCGAGGTTATGACATCTCAATTTAAGGTAGAAAGTCTCCGCAATGCAGATGAAATTCAAACACTTAAAGCTGCGCTCGTTCAAAATGATTCATTGCTGAAAGCTGAGCAAAAGAACTTGCAAAAATTGTTGGCTGATCATGACAGCCTTGGGATTTTATTTGCCAAGCTAAAGGATGAAAAGGAGAAAGTCACCAATGAATTATCGGCAGCTAAGTTAAAATTCACCCAAGAGCTGAAGTCCCAGGAGGATAACCTAATGGTAACTTACAATATGGGAAGTCTTGGTGGATAGATAATATTATATTTTAATATATGCAATAGGAAAAGGTATCCGAAATGCAGATGGAAATAAATAACAAAGAAACCGAAATGTTTGAATTGGAACGCCAGAAAAACGTAAGTCTATTTATTTTATTACTTGGCTTAAAACAAACATTTAGTAACAAGTATGCATATCGATAGAGTGAAATGGCCGTACTTCAATTCAAAATGAATCGAATCAACAGCGTAATCGACCAACCAGTTCACAATGTGTCTACATCATTACCGGGTTCTAAACTCCAAGACTCCAAAACGGTGAAACCGAAAAAGGCGCATCGTTTGCTGAGCTCTTCGAAAAAATTAAGTGCTGGTCAACCAAAGACTACTACCGTACACTCTGCAGACGAGGATGGGCAGCCTGTAGGTATTCGTTAATTGATGTGAAAATTACAAAACTGATAATCGTAATTTGATTTTTGTTACAGCTTGCCAGCACCAATTTAACTGGCAAAACAGCTCACAATTTAGCTCCATTATTATCGGATCCAAAACCACAGGAAACCCCAGGAACATCCAAAACACAAAGCACACAAAAAAAGGTGCAGCCAGAAGTTTCCGATGACTTGACGAGCTCTACAAAATATCGTTATGGTCGTCATCAACGGATTAACAGAATACATTTGTCATCTGACTTTGAAAGCGAGGATGAGCTGCCGGTAAATACCTAAGATTGATCGCGAATTACACAAATAATCGTAATTTACTTGTTACAGGTTCTAAGCTACAAACAACACAAGCTGTCTGCTGTGGTAAAACCGCAACAAGAAGATATGTTCGACACTTCGAAGGAATAATTAAGCAAATTACTAAGTTCTGAAATCTAATTTCATTTTGTTGTCTATCCATTTAATTAAGACATGAAAATAAGAATACTGAGTTAGGAACATAATTCAGTTCTTTCTTTATCATTCATAAACTACAAATAAGAATACTGAGTTAGGAACATAATTCAGTTCTTTCTTTATCATACATAAACTACAAATAAGAATACTGTGTTAGGAACATAATTCAGTTCTTTCTTTATCATACATAAACTACAAATAAGAATACTGAGTTAGGAACATAATTCAGTTCTTTCTTTATCATATATAAACTACATGAATTCTTTTAATACTTGTGTGAATAGAGCAAGTTTTTTAAGCAAAGAATTTGTTTTCCATTGTGTTATCTTAATTTTAAGAACATTACGTTACGTCACGTTAAAAAGACTACGAAATGAATTCCCTTACGTTTAATAAGAATAACAAAATAAAATTAATAAACTATTTAAACTATATACTTATTTAAAATGAATTTCGTATTTTATTCGTTCAAATGGAATTCCAGCTTAAACTCTGCATGGCATTACTTCCATTAAGAACATTAACCACTAAACAGATTTTGAAAGGTTACCAAAAGTAAAAACAAATAAAAATAACGCGGAATATTCCTCTTCTAGGATTTGATAACCCTAATCAGGCGGTCCACATCAGCAGCATCGACAACGGCATCTGCCTGGATGCCGGCATCCTCCATCGCCTTTCCGGTTCCACTGCCAACGGCTATCAACTTTCGATCCTTGAGCGATACGTTAAAACTTTCAAAAAACTCCAAGGCACTTCGTACGCTGGAGGGCCCAAAGAAGACCAACGTCTCCATTCGCTTTAACTTGAGGGCATGGCGCATCTGATTGACAAACTCTGGATGCGACCGACTCTCGTACACCTCGCAGGCGTCCACCCGGAACCCCTGGGCCACTAGCCGCAGTCGCAGTGTGTGACCAACGCCATTGCCACAGGGCATGAGCAGCGGAAGATCCCTCTTGGGTCCGAAAGTCTCCACGATCAAGTCGCACAAATTGTTTGCATTCACTGCATGATCGCCCAAAGTCCGCAGATTCTGCAATGTGAACCAAGCGGAGCTGTGGGTGTTCTTCCCCAGAGCGTAATTGTGCAAGGGTCGCCAGCAACTGGGCAAAGGCGCCTTGTCGAGCGCCTCGTTCACCGCCTGTACACATCGGGGAGCGGCAAATATTATTCCGGCATATCTATGGGGCTCCTGCAGCTTCGCGTGCAACTGCTTTAGATTCTTAAACACATAATGCGAGGGAGCAATGAAAATGGGATCCAGATTATGGTTGCGTAATGCCGGTCCGTAAAAATCATCGGAAGATGGGGCTTTCAGCAAGATAACTGGACGCTTATTACGCTCTCCCATAATAAAAATATAATTTATTCGGATAATATGGAAAATTTATTTTTTGTTTCTTGCGATCGATTTTTAGGGAGAGTATCGGAATTGAACAGATAGTGCTTGAAAATTTTCTCCGCGCTTATTAGGAAAAGTTGTTTTAAAATGTGGCTAGATGATTAGAACAAGTCTGTTTTATTTGTACCTTTTTCTTTTAGACTAATAGGGATTTAAAATAATTTGGGATTACATAAAATTAATACCAGAATTTATCTCATTGATCTCCAAAAAATATCTTAAACTTTCACATACATCCAAATTATTTCAATATTTTATTCAAATCCCTTCTCATCCCAACAATAAGTCTCCAAGTACTTTCTGGAATGTTATCACAAGCATTTGCATCGCAATCATATATAATTTGTATACATTTATATGGAAAACAAGTGAGTTATAGACATAAACCAAGCAATCGTAAAAATAGCAAGTACAACAAATATAATTAAATCCGACTAGACAGCTCCCATTTGGAGGATGGGAGTGAATAGTTTGTAGGCCTTCTCGATGAACTGAACGGCCGATAGCATTTCGGAGAAGAATGTGCTAACCCGGGCTTTGGACTCTTCCGGTTCTGGTTTGCTGCTCAGGACGGCAGCGAATCGGTGACTGAGTCCTTGCAGGTGCCTATTGAACTGCTGGCAGAGATTAACGACGCCGTCAACCTCGTTGGCAGTGCTGTGATGCGGTTTTACTAGCAGCAGCTCGGCGATCTTGTGCAGCTTACACATCTCCAGGGCACACGCTTCGCTCAGAGCATGGATGCTCTTGGCATACGCCTGCTCCAGATCGCCAGAGGAGGCCTCCTCGGAGTTGAGCCAGTCGAGTGACTGCGTCCAGTGTCTGCAAAAGGGGTTTTTGGGAATAACTAGCATAATTTCTGTGGACTTAAACCATTTCCGGTTGAAACAAATTGAGTATTTCGATACATTTTAAGCAATATGGAGCTTTAACTTTTGAAAAAGATAAGATTTAGACACAGAATAATACCCACTTGGCTATATCCTCAAACTGAATCCCCAGCTCTGCATCCTTAATGGTGTCCGCCAATCTCTCGTTCAGCTCCTGCGGCTCATAGTCTCCCTCGCTCTCCACATCCAGATCCTCCATGTCGAGCAGCTCCTTCACCTCGTTGATGGTCTCCTGCAGTTCGGCCAGGGCATTGCCACTGACCGCATCCAGAAGGTTGTCCAGCTTGAGGCGTGACTCCTTGGACAGGATTTCCAGGGCCTCGAAGTGCACCAGGCCGCAGTAGTTCTCGAAGAGGACCTCGAAGCGCAGCTGCGCCTTCTGCTTCTCCAGCTGCAGTTGCTGCAGGGACAGTTCCATTTGGTCGGCATCCTTTTTCGCCTCCAGCAGAACCGCACTCAGATTGGGTGCGTTGGCGTCCAGGCCGAGGAGCTTTCGCTTGTTCATGAGCTTGGGATCGTTGTCCTGCAGAATGGTCATGGTCTTTTTGCCAATGCCTTCGAGTGTGTCCAGTCCGGTGTTGAGCACCTTGGAGCCCAGATTAGTGACGAAACCCAGGCCAAAGGCGGGCGAGGATTCGTTTTCATCTTCGTGGTGTTCCTCTGCCGCTTTATCCTTTTCCGGTGCGGGCTCTTTGGCAGCTATTTCCGCCTTTTCAGCCACATTGATGCGAGCCAGCTCCTCGGGATCGGGCACTCCTATGATTTGATTAAGACCCTGGTTTACTTGAGTGGTTATGGTGCCCAATCCTTCGGTGGCGGTGCTCAGCACGGAGCTCAGTTTCCCGCCCCAAAGACCCCAGGATGATGAGGCGGAGGCTGCGGTTGGTGGAACTGCTGAAGTTTCCTGCTTTTCCCGAGTTTCCAGCGCTGCTTTTGCGTCGTTTATGCTCGCGACTTTCTCCTCCTGCTGCTGCTCCTTCTCCACGTGGACAAACTTGTCCTCGTCGTCGCCCCAGTCGTCCCAATTGTCGTCCTCGTCGCTCTGAGCCCAGTCGTTGCCGCTCCCATCATCCTTTTTCGGGTTTTTGGACATTGTTTGCTCTGGACTGTCTGCTCCACGTAGAATTTTTGCATTTGCTTACTGCAGCTGCCAACTCGCTGCGGAAAAACAGCTGCTAGTCAGGCTGCCAACTCGTTACACAAGTGATTACATCGGCGCGGTTTTGTTATCGGTATTTGAATATTACGTTTGCATTGTTTATAAAGTTTATGCAAAAGTTGAAAGTAAATATTTATTAATAATTAAAAGCAAAAGATAACTTAAAATAATATTTCAATAAGGAAAGTTTTTTTATTTTTATATAATTGAACTTTGTGATTTTTGACAATGTAAGTTTCAGGTATATTAAATTTACATTGTGTAGATAATTTAAGATTTTCCTACAGTTGTAAAGAAAAGTGCCTAATTTGATAAAATAATTAAATTAATTAATGTAAGGCTCAATTAAATTTTTTTTTTCAAATAGATTGTGTTTATTAAAAAGAAAATTTTAAATAAGTTTAGAAACAAGCACTGGAATTATTAATTTAAAATAGAAAATCATTTAATTTTTTACTTTGTACATTGCAAATTGTAAAGGGAAGTGCCTAATTTGATGAAATAATTAAATTAATTAAGGTAAGGCTCAATCAATTTTTTTTTTCAAATATATTGTGTTTATTACACAGAAAATTTGAAATAAGATAAGAAACAAGCACTGGAATGATTAATTTAAAACAAAAACTTTATTATGTTGTACTTTGTACATTGCAAATATGTGTAAAACATAGTCGTGGGTAACCATGGCATCAATTGGCTTTTGCTCCTATTAGGAAACCATAAATAATTCGTGCTGCTGTCCAAATTCCTTCGCACTCCACCTCACCCAAACGCCCCCATAGATACACTCACGCACACACGGTTAGTCAATGCATACAAATTGAATTGATATTAGTTTGTGAAATATTTAAGCTGCCAAATACCAAATACCAAACAAATGTGTCGTGTGTGTGCGTCTGCAGAGCTTTTGCCTTACTTAGGCACCTGTTTTCCCTGTAAATCTCACTTTTTCATGGCCCTTCTTTTGTTTCTTATTGCGATGTGATGGCAACTTGTGTTCTTACTTGGAATAAAATGCAAATATTATTGTTTGGCTGTGTTTTGTGCTTTTGTGGATACTTGTTGAAGATGTTTACAGGAAGTACACACATGTATTGCAAATTACAGTGGCCACTTGTTTTTATATTGACAATAGGTTTTAATTGAACGGTTTTTCTTTTATTTTTTTTTTTTAATTTCTCCAATAAAGGTAAATTTTACAATTGCCAAGTGATTGATATTTGAGATATATATAAACAATAAGCACAACATTTTGTATTTCATTGTAAAATTTATTTTTCAGAGCTAAATTCGCCAAGGATTTTATTAAGCCCTCTGATATAAACATTTACATTACTTCTTTAAGTTTCTTGATTTCTGTTCAAGTTCTCATTTCAAAAGCAAACGCTAAACCTTTCTGGTTCTTCCAACAATGTCCCACATTTAACTGAGCTCATAAATTAGAAAATCACACAAGCAAGTATACAAATGTACGTTCATCAAAAACCGAAAAGTTTTACTAGCTGAGCTAACCAGCATATAACTTTGACAGCAACGTTGAAGCAGCGCAAAATTAACAAACCAACACAATTTTCACACGCACACACCTTTCGCATAAACAAGGAATTTTCATAAACTTGCTGCACAGTTTTAGCCCGCCGCTGCCACAAGGTTTTCCAGCAAAAAGCCACATGAATATTTCGTCAAGCCGGGAAATTTATCTTTCTCAGCAGAGCGTAGAAAGGTACAGGATAGCGCAATCTCTGTGATATGAGTAATTTTTAATTAAAATCTTAAAAAAATAAAGGAACTACTTCCGCAAAACCAAAAACCGCTAGAATACCAGTTAAGCAATGAAATACCTTGGCATATTCCTGCGAAATTGCCTTTAAGTGGGGCACTCAACGAATTTTACTTGTGACTGCTAATCGCATGTTCAGTGTCTTGTCTGGGCGAAAAATTAAATGTAAATTTGCCCTTTGTGTGTGTTGGGATAAATGTAAATTGGCATTTGGCTGTAGAGCCTCAGAAAGGCTACAATTGGGGTAAAAACCATAAGTGTAGGTATCAATTTTAGACACATATTTAGATATATTGTTAGGGTAAATATTAAAAGTAATCGACTAAATTGAGTAAAGAGTACTTAGTAAAAATAAATATATATATTAATTATGTTTATCTGTTAATAAATAATTTTAAATCACTTCAGATTGACTCTCTAACTTTAATCTTTAACATTTAGACCTTGTCCTTTGATCTTCCCCTTGGCAATTTTCTTTTTATAAAAGAAACATCTTTTCAATCTTTGGCAATAGAAGAAAGTGTTTGGAAACCCTTGTCTCGACCCAAAAATACCCATACAATGTATGTGCAACACGAAATTAAACTTGGAAATTTGTTTTAACTATGGACAAACAAGGGAAATGTGGGAACCCCGAGGAGTTGACAACAAACATCGATGAGACTCCATCACAAAAACTCACACACATTTTCGTTGGCTGCCAACTGCCAGCATTGTCAGGCAACTAATATGTGGAGCGGAGCCACGTGAATGTGGCACCCACTTCGCAACCCACATTGCAACCCACTTTTTGGCCAGGACAACAACGTTATTGATACCTCCGCCAAGCCCCGGACAAACAAGAGAACCCTTTTGGCAAGTTCCCCCGAGCATATTGTCTCAGTGCGTGTGTCTCTGCTCAAATTTTATTCCCATCCACTCGATGTTTCTTTGTAAAGACTCCTGCCGACGACAATAAACCAAACTTCCAGCTGTTTATTAACATGTTTCTCTGTCAATATACATACATATATATTCTGCCCATATATAAATACACGACGAGCATATGTATATCCAATGCCAAATTGACGATGCTGATGACGCGGTGGATCAAGCGGGGGGAGGGGGTGTGATGGAATCCGGACCCGGAACACATATCGCTTTACAAGTGGAAAAATTCCTTTAGGCCAAAGTGTGCATTAAGAAGATTGTTTTACTATTGTTGTAAGACACCCAAAATGTACACATTTATCTTTACTTATAGATACCAACACACCCAAGGAGATACTTTAACTACATGAATATTGAATGCACTGAGAGAAAGGTATGGTACAATTTGTAAGTTAAAATAGTAAACGTTGAAAAATGTATAAATTAAAATTAGTTATTTTGTGAATGTTTTCGAATAAAAACAGGCCACAAAAAGCAATATATATATATTTTGTTTCCATCGGCAAACAAGTAATTAAAATTGTTTTTAAAAACTTTCTCGCAGTGCAGCCGCACGAAACTTGCCCACAGGCGAAAGCTTCTTGTTCTTCTCGTCCTTCGTCTTGCTTCCTGGCACTTCACCCATTTGCTCCTTCGGCATCTAGAACAGCTTCCTTGCTGTTGTCATTCCACTCAACAAAAGGATTCAAATTTCATTAAATCTCATACAAAAGTATCAAAATGCCATTGTTGTCATGGCACAACCCACCCACTCACACACACTCGTCCTTCGACTGCATTCGCCAGGACCTTCGCTCGCACTTACGCACACATTTGAGTTGGGAACTGGGTCTGGAAGGCTTGACGTCTTTAGCTATTGGTAACTGCTTTTACTTTGGGCCTTTCATTCGATTTACGTTTGAAGTTACCCCATATGTGCCCATGTTTTCGTAGGAAAGGGGCGATGTATTTGCCAAGAAGGCGTTTCCTGATCGCTATCTGCTGTAATGGAAAACTTAATAGACAACCGGCGAAGAAAGCTGGAGAGCCTTTCAGACCTGCTACCCCTGCTGCTTAAAGCTTATTCGCAGCAATTGCACTCGTTTGATTGCCCTCCCCCCGTTAAGTTAATCCCCAGAAAATCAGATATTACTGCCAAATACTGCGATATATGATCTGCTTAAATTGGGCTGTGGGAAATCACACCTGTCTGCCGGTGGCATATATATTTACTGGGGAGTCGTAAGCTTATTACTTTTAGTCGACTTGTCTCATTTATTTATTTGGGTAATAGTTTAGAGGTGTGATGGGAAAAGCTATTAAAAATCGCAGCCTTTAAAATGTCACTTTATATCAATTTTAAATAGACTAGGTCTAGTCATTGTCCATTTTTTATTTCTGGAATCAGTAGTTCAAGCTACTAGAGTTGTTAAAATTAATTTCTTAAATTTAACTATTAGGTACACTAGGTATTAAATAATTCTTTATCCATTGGAGATTATCTTGTTTTGGTTTTTATGAAATGTGTGATTGTCGTAAGGTCTAATCAGCCTCCAACATCCCGAAATGCCTCCTACTTCCTGGGCAAGCCCCGTCGCTCCAAGCCAACATGTCTCTTTATCGTTCGAACTTTTTTGAATGAAGTCAAACTTTTCAAATTGCTTTCGCATTAAAAATCACTAAAATGCGTTTTCCGCTTCGCTGCAACCAGGTCGTTATGTCGCACGCTGTACGAATATATGTATATTTACACATACAACCAGTGCTTGGCTCACTTCAAGTGTCATTAAGTTTTCGGTGATCATATCCTCGGTATTTGGTTTCTTTCAGTTTTCGTCAACTCATCAAGGTTTGGTCTCACAAAAGTTTGGCTGCCTTCCCTTTCCGCCCCTGTGTTTGCTTGTGTGGGCGTGGCTCTTTGGAGTTAACATTTATGTGTGGACTAAGGCAGAAGAGAAGCCACAGGATGATAGTCGAAGCTTGGCCACAATAAAATTGCTGTAAACAATGTGGGCCAGGCGAACAAATTTTCCTAAGTCCTTCGTCCTTCGACCTCGAATAAAACCGCAAATCATTGGGCAAACCTGCTCGAGTTCAGGCTAGATAACTGACCAGAAATATTACACATACGCCATGTGAGCTTTATGTGACTGAGACAATTTATTTTATGATTATTCCATTAAACGCATCGGTAGTTTATAATTTAAGTCTAAAGCTGTTTTTCTGCCTTTTGTCTTAACAGGGACCAAAACTCGATTTGGTATTAAATGAGATTAGTTTGGTAAATAAATTAAATTTTTCGTCCTTAAAAGTGAGAGTAATTTACTTTTGTTTGTGTCTGTCTTAGCTTGCACACGCAATTTAATTGAGTTTTGAATCTAAACATCTATAAAACTTTAAGCATTTTTAAAAGTTTTAAAGGCTAACAGCTTATTTAAAATTTCGTAATTAAAATGCTTTACTTTACTTTTCAAAAACATTTGCAACTTTCTGTTTTCGCTTTCGCATTGTTCTTCAATCATTACTGTGCTGAATCGCATAAGAAATCACGTTCCAGGCGGTTTTCGAATGTCAACGAGAAGAACGAAATGATGCCACCAATGCCACGCATGCCACTAATGAGGCTCGTTAGCGTGGTCATCCAGCTGGCTACCCCTTGGACTCCCTATCCCTTCTCGTCCATCCACATCCACAGCCACCCACGTTGGCTCATTGGGCGGGTAATGTATGCAGCAAGCCGAATTGTACGAATTGTACGAATGTTCGGTACTCGTACTGGCAAATCGATAAAGTAATTTGTCCATGGCCAGTCAACCTGCTTCTGCTTTTGCTTCCACTTTCACATCCACTTCCCCTGCCGCGATCATTTGGCCACATAATTTTGTTTGGCACAGCAGCACGTAGCCGATGGCTGAGTGACTGGGAAATCCGGGGAATGGCTACGGACTCGGATGGGTTCGCCTAATTGCAGCACCATCTTGCGGTTATGCGTTTTACGTGCGTTTGCCGCACGTCCGGCTAATTAAAATTGCATTTTTCGTACGCTCCACACAGGTTATTGATATGGCCCATGGGGATATATAGTATACTGTATACATGTGTGGGGATATGGACACATTGGTTTATCGTGCCACCAGTTGGCCATCGCTTATACTGACCATATTTCTGAGTGCCTTTTGTGGGTTTGATGAAGTAGAGGCAGTTGGGGGATGTAAGGAAAATAATGGGAAAAAGACTACGCATATAAAGTATGGCGATGTAAATGCCATTCTGAAAATATGTAAGTTATTTTAAGGGACATATATTTCATAGATAAAAGAGAAAAACATGTCGATACAAATAAATTCTCAAAGCTTTATTGAGCTTCACATAGGAAATATGTTATCTTCTAGTAATTCATATATTTACACAACGTATTATTAAATTCTTGAAAATAAAAAAGTATTACTAAACTTTATTTTTTTTTTATATAAAGTTTTTAAAAACGCCAGACAAGTGGGAATGTGTTGAAAAAACAATGTTGTCCTAGTTGGTTTTTTTTAACCATGTGCTAACATATTATAAATATTTAAATATGATTTTAAATTGTGAAGGCAGAACTTCCTGAAAGGACTGCTCAACCACCATACCTCTTTGAATTTCCTAAATTACCCCACCTGAGAGCAGTTTTGTACTCATCTATCTCTTTGGTTGAGGGACTGTCCCTCGGGCAGCGTATATCCTTTCACCATCTGCATAAAATCAATCAAATGAGCTGAAACGGTTAAAAGGGTCACAGACCCCCAATGAAATATCCCCAATAGGCCTAATCAATTGATTGAAGATGTCGTTGGAGGGACTTTGGTTTGGGTCCCCTCCAACTACTTCCCGCATTCGCCAGCTCACTTACACCCTTTTGTTGTCGGGGTCACAGTTGCAACTGTCATAATATTGACTCATTGCCGTTGTAATTAATGGTGTTAAGACTCGCACGCCATTTTAATGCAATCCAATTGACAGGCGGCATCCGCTTCAAGGTTTCAGCATTTCCTCCCATCGAGGCTTCATCTGGGGGATATTGATTTCAATTATAATGATGTAGTACAATGAGCGCTGGACCTCCATCGATCTCCATTTCTCGGTTTTACTTTCCCCATTACCCCAAAGGCATGTTAACTAATTGCTAACCTTCTGGCTAGTGCTTCGAATATTAAATGGAGGAAGAGTAGTAAATTTCAGCAAAGACGCTGAGTTCCTTACTTATCATAATTGGTTAACTATTTAATGAGTAACAAATGCGCTTTAAATGAACCTTCAATATTATATGTTTCTAAAAGAAAATAATAGGAAAGTTCAAATAGTTTATATAACTTTATTTAATATGATTGCTGCTGCCAAACTAAATTGTTACTTATGTAAATTACTTGTAAAAAACTATGAATTTACTATTAGTTCTGAATATAACTGGAGCTCATCTCACAAAATTAAACTGAAAATAGTGGAAGGGTCTTGAGACATTAATCAATCATCATTGAAGCTATCATCGCTGTCCAAATCAATTTTTCCAATGTGGGTTTCGGGGCACTTGGGTTTGATGTCAGCCAAAACAGGTTCACCATCAGATTTGAAGCCATTTTTGCCACGAGTTGGGGTTTTTCCCGGGCATTTCCAATGGAAGCCTTTGTTTTCTTTAACTCCTTCATCTTTGCCACGCGAGGAAGATTTATCCCTCAAAGCCAAGCCTCCAGTTGGTAAATTTCTTGGTCTATTTGGAGTTATGGGTTTTTTGGATGAACTTGGAATATTGTCGTTACTAACTTCGCGCCTGTATTGCTGGAATAGAGTCTCGGCCTGTCGTTGTTTGGCATCGTAAGGACCTTCTTCGCCATGACCAGGAGCATACTTATCCTCTGGTGGCAAGTCATCGACATAGAACTGTCTGTCGGGTATGTCCTTATAAGCGTCACTATCTTCCGTCTCATCCTCGCTGTAATCCGTGTCCAAAATATCGGACTCAGAGCTATCTAAGTTTACCTTCGAACTATCTGTCTTGAATGATCGAGGTGGTGGTGTTTTGGCCTTCTTGATTGCAATGGGTCTTTTAAGGGGATCGTTTTTAATGAGCTTTCGATTGCTCTGAACAAGTTTCTCATGCTTGATGCCCTTTTGGGTTCGCAGGTCTTCGAGCTCCTCTCTCAACTTGCGGCAACGTTCAGACATGGAATGTAGAGGATCCACTTTACTGGCATCCGGATTCAATTTCCAATCGCGCATCACTAGTTGAGCCAGTAGGGGAAGGTCCTTCGAATCGGGTGTGAGGAGAAGACTTTGTTCCATTTCACTGCGATTGGCCGCACTCTCACCCGTCTCCATGCGAAAAGTTTCCAGGGTGTGCCTGTAGCCGTACCAATGAAAGAACTCCATGACCAGCTGATTTATAAGCTTTATCAGACTCCGATCTGGGGATAAATTGGCTGATCCACCGGTAAGAGGTCGCTTTTTGGACATGTCCTGCTGGCCCCGCATCATCTGAAGCACCTTAATGTGCATTTCACTTCGAAGTATCGCCATGGTCCCATTTTTCTCCAACTGGCTTTTGATGTTCTCCTCCATCAAATTCTCGTAGGCAGCCTCCAACTTAGTCTCATCCGAACTCATACTTTCCAATTTCTTTTTACACGAATTTACAGATCAAAATATTAACTTTATGAATTTAACTTCTACGCCGTTGTCGAGAGCAATTTGTGTACGTTCAATTTAACCTTTAGTACAGTTGTGGGCAAAGGTTAGACATTTCAGTTTAGCCATTTTTCGCACAGCCTCCTTCTAACTTGATTTCGTTCTAATTCTATTGGCCTGTGGCCAGGTTTTCTTCTAGTGTCTGCAAAGTTTATTTCAAATTTTTCCTCACCTGAATCAACTCAACTCGTTAATCATGCAGATAACCTTAAGGATGGACCAGTCTGTGCATATTTTAGCCATTAGTAGTGGGTGCTGAACCCACATTTTGGCTGGCTAGGCAATGATTTTTATTTCAAAGTTTAATTTGTATAAAAATAGACTTGGTTTACTTTTCAAATGAGTTCGTTTAGATTATTTCAACCACAGTAAACCAGTTAAAAATCCGCTATGTTGAAAACCATTAAATATTCCTTTAAATGCCAAACATTTTCATGTCTCATTAGTCCTTGCGCTAATTTTGTTTCTCGCTTTTGCTTTCCCAAACCATCTTTTGATCTTTCTCATAACTTCAATTTAAAGCTTAGGTTAATTAGCTGCTGCTTATAATTTAATTGGCCCACCTGCAACTACAGTTAATACCTTTTAGTTGGGAAAGAGCTATTGAATTTATCTCACTTAATGGAACTTAAAAGTTTGTAAACTTTAAAATAATAACGGAAACTTTTGGAAACCCAATTCTAAAAGATTATTTTGGATTCATACAAAGGATCTAAGTGCAGAAACGGTAATCGAGCAAATAAATAGCTTAAGATGGACTGGAAAAAGGATCAAGAGAATTGGTAGAGGAAAAAATTATATACAAAACTTTATCAGGATCAACTTCTGGGTGCCTTTTTTCATTGGTGGTGAACATTTCTTTCATTTATTTGTAGGTGCTGCAAAAAGTTTGCTCAGCAATTTGGCCAAAGAAATTTTTAATAACTATTTTCTTGCCGTTTTTTCACATTTTTTTGGGCTTGTTGAGAAAAGTTCTCTTTGCATTTGCTTTTAATTTTTGTAATGGAATTTTTAAACGCTGATGGTGGATGGGGATTTCAGACAAAAGTTTTTTGAGACTCAAAATTCATCGGTGAAAAGCGCCAGCTATATTGTCCTTAAAGTTTTCAACTCTGCTCTTCCTTAAACATTTGTCCAACTAATTAGCAAAAGTGTTGCTAAAACAACAAAAAATCGTGCCGAAATCTGTAGATATACATATCTATATATTTAGCTCAATGCTGCGCCATTTCCGGTTTATCTCTCAACTAATTTTTAGTTGCTTCTGTAGCAAAGCAAAGCCAATTAGGCAAAATGGCTGCGACACATTTCCGCTGGTTTGCTGAGCCATCGCCAGCCACTTAACTGATGCTGGGCCAGACCTGACCTACCATGACCTGGCCCCTTGACCCCTTGTCCAAAAATGAGTCCTACCGAATATTGGGCTTGCTGGAATACACAGCAGACATGAACTACAAATGGAATATAACCAACATTTTTAAGGCGAAGGCTCACAATATCCTTTAGATATCTATCATTAATAGTTTTGGGATTTAAAAATAAAATTAAATAAACATAATGATCTTCCTGATGGTTTATAGTTCTTTTCCTATGTACTGAAATATTTGCATTTGCCTTAATACAAATATTATTTGTACTTGTTTTGATGGAAATACTATAAAATAATTTAACACAAATTTTTAAATTGTATTCAACATATTTTTCAATGCTGTGGTGTTTTATTTTGCATTGTTGTATTGTTATATTTTTAAAAGTTTTTTGTTTATTTATTGCATTTAGACTTTGTTCGTACAAAATTTAAATCTTAATCGATGTCAAAATTTTAAAAATATAATAATAATAAATATGATTGTCGATATTAAAAGTCTGTTATAATTCTGATGTTAGTTTTTCGGATTTTGTTATAATCGTATTTATAGGGTATGTTTAGTTCGCTGATTTTCAAAGAATTGCTTCTTTTCGCTATTATCATTGTCGTATTGTTGTTATTGCTGTCACACTTTCGCATTTTGTGCTAATCGCATTAATTATGCGTTTCTCCCATTTGCTGCTGGGCCTCAGTTTCAGTTTCAGTTTATGTGTCTGTGCTTCTGGGTCTGAATCTAGATCCTCTGGCCTGCAGGCGAAATGGCCAGCAAATTGAACAAAAGCAAACTGCAGGCAAAGAAGGAAAATAGGGGCTGGAGGGATATTAATGGAGGGGCCACTTTTCAAGCATAATTGCCTCTCAAGGGAATTAAATTGAGCAGAGAATTTCTTTGGCAGCGGCAGCGGCAACAAAAGATGAAGAAGAGATTTTATTTCATTAATTATCAATTAGTTTTTGAAAGTTGTTGCGCCTGATTTATTAAGTGGACAGTGGTTGGCATAACTTTTGAAATTACATCCTAAATTTTCTTGATCAAATTTCTATCAAACTAATTAACCGAAGTGTTTTCCGGATACAAATGATGGGCGTGTGTGCCGCAAATTAATCAGTAATGTTGCGAAAAGTGCTGGCAGGCCAATTGTAAATAAATAAGTATAATTTTTCAGACCAACCAACTTGAAGAGAGCTCTCAAAATCAATTTGGCTTGTCCCAAATTGATGTTGACCAAATCAACCTTAATTATTTAAATTGGATAACATCTTTGAATGGCTTTGTTTGATTTAAATTAATTGATTTAATTAATTGTGCTTGTGTGTTTTATTATTTAGTATTATATTAAAAAAAGTATAATTTAATAATCTAAATTGCTTGAATTTATTTAAAACAACTAATGTGCTTCCTAATGGTCTTGATCATGGCCTCTGCCTGTGTGTTTGATGAGTCGCGTAAAATTCCGATGACCTCGGAAATGCCTCCGCCAGGACGACCTCGTTGAGCTTTGGTGGACAAAGCGAACAAAACCCCTGCACAGGCTCCCCGCTTGCCCTCCCAATTCTCCGGACTGGGATCAAGTCTGCAAAATAAATAATGTTTATTATTCATATTTTATCAACCACAAATTCCACTCACTTTTCGAGCATATCGAATGCTTTGGCTGCCACCCAAAACTCGGCACACCTGTAGCACTCATTGGCAATCAATTGCAGCAGGATAAAGGCCTCGGCATTTGTGTCCCTGGTGATGAACACATTCCATGCCAATTCCGGATGGCCGCAGTGTATGTGACACTTGGCCAGGATCATGCAGTAGGTGTGCTGGTTCTTAATGTCCATGTCGGAGATCTGCATAAGCAGCTCCTCTGCCTCCTTGTAATACCCCGTGGCGCATTTCGCCTGGGCAAAGTTATAGTTGAACACATCGTCGTTCACAAAATAGCTGCGTATGGAGTTCATGTACACCAGCACCTCCTCGAATTGTTCGTAGAGGAAAAAGGCCGAGGCCATGCTTTGACGACCCGGTATTGTATCGCATTCTGTGGCCGAACTGCCCACCAAATGAAGATTCTGCTGGGCAGTCTTGATGTGCTCTTTCTGGAAGCAAACTAAAATACAAACAAAATCCATTTATAAATTTTGTAAAAATATATTTACCGATCCCAATTGTTGGCCGAGGGCAGCGTGAACCACACCCTTGAGAATGTACTCGTGTGGTGATGTGGGCTGCAGTTCCTTCATCAGAGCATGGGCCTCCTGCACATCGCCCTGCTTGAGATAGTATATGGCCAGGTTCAAACGAGCCTCTGGGATGATATTAAGTAGTCCGGGTAGGACGCGTAGAGCTCCCTCGCCATTCCGGAAAACGACCAGGTTGTGGCGCAGAAGATCTGCCCCGAAAGTGCCATTGTCGGCTATATTCTTGATCTCCTGCTCGGCCACTCGGCCATTGAACAAACGAAACCGATTGCAGGCCTTTAGGTTAATGGCAATGGTGCTGTCGCCATGCTGACTGAGATACACGTCCAACACCTCCTGGGACATGTCGTAGTAGTCCAGCTTGTAGAAGCATAGAGCCAAGTATACATTTATGGCCTGGTAGTCCTTGTTGTCCACCAAAACCCGCTTGTACACATCGATGGCCTCCTGGTAATGGGCACGCATATAGTGCATTGAAGCCAGACTGAGTTGTTGCTCCAAGCTCGCAGAATCCTGCAGCTCCTCCAGCAACTGGCCCCACTCCTCCTCGTTGCCCAATTTGTGGGCCAAATGGAACAGAAGTCGCTGCTTCAGCGGGTTCTCATCGGCATTGGCCATCAGTTGGTGGGCCTCCTCGTACAGGCCCAAGTAGAACATGCAGACGGCCAGGTTGAGATCCACCTTGCCGTCAGCACTCGCGGAACTCTGCTGAATGGCCTTGTACTGAGCGAGGGCCTGTTGGTAGTCACCCAGATGGAAGTGGCAAAAGGCAATCCACTGGTCCACCTGACGCTGCTTGGGCCCATGGGCACCCTCCTCCTCGTCTTCGTCATCGTTGGTGTACTACAATGGACAACCACATCAGATAAGCTATTATTATTCTTAGTCTTTGAACTACAAGCAACAGTAAATAAGATATAGGAGCTATAGCATCGGAAGGCCTTAAGCTATACCAATTATGTGGTTAATATTTAAGCTTTTGGTTTTGTGTTTTGTCTGTCTACTTAATTAATAAACAATAATATATTAAACATAAACATAATATGTCAAACATAATATATACAATGGAATAAAAGTAAATAAAACATATTTATTATATATTATTAAAGAGAGTGGTATTAATTTAAAAGTTATATTCGAGATTGTATTAAAAGTGGATAGGGTTGATGGTTTAGTTATTAAATGTGTCCAGTTGAGTAAATAACTCGATATTTGGATGATGATGAGGAAAAAGATTACGATTTACTTTGAAAAATAAGTACCGATCGTTAAAAATGTAAAAAATGCTTAATTATTAAATTTCTGATCTAAGCTTGCTTTAAAAAAATACATTTCTACAATAACTTAATAGAAATATATAAATTCCCATGTTAAATTCACTATTTAAAAGAACATGCATGCGCTTGATTATAAACACAAAAGTTTACGTCACTTATCTAATAGTGACTAATAAAAGCGGGGTACACTAAAAGTCAAAAATGAAATGCAAAAATTAGCTAATCGAAAAACAAGTCTGAGCCAACTGCAGATATAAAACAGGTCGATCTCAGCATACAAAAGCAAGTTTTTTTTTCGATATAACTAATATTATGCTATGTGGTAGCACAAAAGCAATTATTAATGAACAATGCTAAAATGTCTTTGAGCCACAAGAGTTAAATTTCATTGTTTTAATTTCAATACTCAGGTTTTCCAATAGGCATTTGATGAGAAGTCTTTCAGAAATCAATGCGAGCTATCAACAACGTACATCGATTAATGTATTCGGACTAAAAGATGCAAAATTATACGCGTCATTAAGTTATAAGAAATTCAAAAACGAGTCTAGACCAACAGCAGCGGCTACACAACAGGTATAAAAGAAGCTGGCATATACTCAGATTGCAAAGTGATCTCCTACCATGAAGTTCTTTGCTCTGATTGTGTTCCTAATAATCGCGTTAGTGGCCGTGAAGGCGGTCCCCGATTCGCCTTCTTTCCTCAAATGCCTCGATGAAATAAGTGATCCCGAACTTTGTCTTAACTTCAAAGATCAATTCCCCGAAGATGCTCCAGCAGTTCCGGTCGACGACTACACATTCGAAGCTAGTTCTGGATAAATTTCATTCCCTTTCGTTGCGTTTTTTCGACTTACTCGAATTCCAGCTGAATAACTTATTGTGCAAAGGGAGGAAAGCAGCGTGGTTGCTTTACAAGTTAACTGAATAAAAATATTGTATTGTAGTTTGTATGTTAATGCTGTTTCTTTTCGTAGTCATATTCAAGGTCTAGTAATACCTAACCAGTTGTCAGTTATCATAATAATAAAAATACCCACTATTTAAAAATCGACCAAAATTAAACAAAAAGAGACTGTCACAATGATGAAGTTTTGTAGCTTAATTTACTTGGTAGAATTAAAAATATATTTTTATATATTACTCTGCAATGTTTCTCGAAATATAATGAAATACCCTGCTGCCCTAAGCCTTTCGTTTCGATTGTCCACCGAATTTAGAGCCAAAATAATCCCTACGCACCTCCAGAAATGCCCTGGCACCCGTGTAGTCCCGCTTGATGATGAAATCCTCCAGGGAGGCCGGTGCCGGGGCCTTCCTCGCCTGCCTGCCCACTCCGAGTCCGCTGCCGGGGCCTCCACTGGCGTTTCTCGAGCTCGCCGAGTCGGTTTTTCCGCGTGAAAGTATCTGGGCAAAGAGCATAAGTACCTCTGGAGTATCTGACAACATTTCTTTTTTAGCCACATTTTCTTACCATACTTTCAGAGCCTTTCTTTTTCCCAGAATTTGCGCTCCTTTCGCCCTGCTAGCTCCTCAGTGTTTTGGTCTTGTGTTTTGTGTTTTGCGTTTTCTGTTTTCAGCTTGGAACGCTTGGTTACGGTCGCTTGGCAACCTATATAGCGTCGATAAAGCAGTTCGACCATGCCTCACTGCGTTTAGCAAGCGCCCTCCAGGATCCGTGAATGTAAAGTAAGTCTATCCATATCCTTACCCTCAACTGTAACTGTGCGCAGGAACCAACTGTTGATCCGGCAAAACAGCCACCCTTGATTCTGGTGATGCCTTCCTCACTTGCCCTGCCGATGTCAGCAAATATGTATGACTTCGTACCCTTTTTATTTATAAAATGGGATGAGATGAGTCGTATTCTTGAGCTAGAAATTCCTTAAGGAAAAAAATCTGTAAATGGTTTGGAAATAAATATTTGAATATTTAGTGGACTTACCCGAAATCTATACACTGAGGAAAAAGAAGGTAACTCCAAGAAATTGCTTAATTTTCAACAAATTTTTATTTGAATTTTAATTGCGACCAAATCGGTAAGAAACTTGTATCTCTTCATTGTTTGCTCTAATAGTTAGACAGGCCAAGAGTATTTTTTGCTGGCTAACAGTTTCATACAATACCTATTTTTATTTTCTAGAATTTTGGCAAATTTATTGCATGCAAATGCTGTAAGACTTTGGTCAGTTTGTGGCACACTACCAGGGGACAAAGGTAGCCTTACGGCACGCATTGTTGACACAGTTCCACATTCGTGATGCTTTTCCATTTGCATTTGCATTTTCATTTTGCCATTTTCTTTATTTATAAGACGCACACGAATCATAAATATGCAGGCTGCCTCCAGCGTGAAATGCATGCGTCAATCCAGACGCCTCGAATACTTTCAGAATTCCTTATTTTTCTTCAACTTTGCTGACACTGCATAATGGCTCAGACATTCGTATTCGAGTGATAGACATGACTAAAGAATTTTGTTATTCCAGAGCAAATTCGAACGCCATCAAGTGGAAAAACAAGAGAAAATAACAACAATCCGAGTTAAGGAAATTCAAAAATGTTAAATATTGCCTTGCCATATAAAAGATTATTTAAAGCACGGCCACGTAAAGTGTATTAATTGATATATATTTTTCATTAAATACACTGATTACCCTTATAAACCTGGCTACCATTAAAACATTAAGGAACTTATAGTTTATTTATTATTTATTTATTTGTAATTTTATATTTTCTATACACTTTTTTATTGTGAGAGAGCTCGAGTATCAACAGCAAGCATCGTTCACTAGAACCTCAAAAAACAGGCAACTGAAACCAATTGAAAATAAAAATGCGGATAAAAGATGAACAACAATCTGTTCGTTGCGTACAATAAAACAAGATAAAGCATAATGCCAAACACCAACAACATGGCAAACAAATTTACTTTCAAGTTGAAACATTCCGTATTTTCTTGTCCGCTCCATATATAGTATATTTCCATTTGCCAGGCGTTCTCATTCGTTGTGAGCGCCTTTGTTTATGCTACACTTTATTGCGCTTTTGCAATTTCGCGTTTCCGTTTCCCGTCAAATCAGCCATAAAAAACCGTAACGCAAATCTGGGAGTCACGACCCCGCCCAGCTGGATGCTTCTGTTCCTGGTCCCGGTCCTGGTCCTGGTCCTCGAAGGCGCCTATTACATTTCGCAGTCGAATAAACAATGCCAACATCATTTGCACCTCCTTCATTATGGGCTTGCCTCGTTATTTGTCAAACAAATAAACAGCAGGCAATGGCAATGCTATTGCACTTAAAAAATCATTTGTATGCTATTTTAAATAAAATAGCACTTCCTAGGGCCGGAAATATTTATTTAAAGTTGGTTTAGTAATCAAAATTAGTACCAATATAAAAGAAAGTGTACAATAACTAAAGGCTAAGACAACAGAAATAAATAAATGTAATAAATTCCAATTTGTTATTAGTTAAAAAATATATATTTAAAAATATTATATTATTATTAAATATGTAACTATAGACATTACTGTTGTATTTTGTATTTTAGACAAGGTAAAATTCATCTCAACAAAAAATGCAAAAAAAAATATTTATAGACAATAATTTCTTCCCTTTACTACCATTTTTTCTCTGAGTGTCAGTGTTAGGGATTTTTGGGTCTTGACTGGGTAGCCGAAGATGTGCCAGTCACTGTTACGTGCAATTGTCTCCCGCTTGGGCCCATGATTTTCCATCATTATCATGGAGAGCTGTTTGTGTTTACAATTTTCCCTTCGCTCCGCTTACCCTCTGTGAAAATTTATTATCATCTTCTCCTCCATCCTGAGTGTATGCTCGTTTTGTTTTGTTTATACACTTTCGTATTTGCATTGCCTTCTGTTCTCTGTTTTTCCGCCTTTTTTCGGACTGGATTTTTTGTGAAGAAAATTGCGAACCTGCGAAATGAAGTGCAAAATTCAAACGGAAATTGAAATGGCAATGACAGAGTCGACTTGCGTTGAGTTTCTTTCTCCCTTTGGCTCCCTCGATTTGTTTTTTCTTTTCAGGATTCTTGGGCACATGTTGCCTGCAGTTGCATATATAAATATTTCTTCACAATGAAGTTGAGAAAATGGCGATTTTCTCAAGCGTAAGCTAAACACTTGAAATGCGAAAATAAATAAAAATGGACATCTTGGCGAACTTATTGGTCACGATGATGGTGCCGCTTGAGCTTGGGCTGAGCACAAATGTTGAATACCACTGAAGCGTGCATAATAATGGGGCAGTGAACTTTTGTGACTCCAAATTGGATCTGGTCAAGGGTGAATGAGTGAATCGAAGTTAAAATGCTCCTACTGTTTTGGAACAGTTGAAATTTCTGTGGGAAAATTCAATGGATGTTCCCATCAGCGGTTTGAGCCCGATTTGTAGCCTTGAATGCACAAGCTAAAATATCAAAAATGGGCTACTTTCACTGACCAAAATAAATTCGTTAGTCGGACTAGAGAGGGTAAAAGCAAATAGCATCGTATATATCCTGGCATATATGCAAAATAATCAAACAACTGTTGTTTGCAATTAGAAGCAAATAGACTAAATTGTTTCGTGGCTCGTAGTTTTCGACCAAGCGCCACACATTTGCAAATTTGTATCGGACACAGACTCACGCACATCACTGAATTGCTCTTCATTTTTGCGGCAATCGCATTATTGGTGAATGTGTGAAATGTTTTTGGCTGATTTTGCCTCGTCGAATTTGGGCGGGCGGCTCTTGACCGAGCGTTCTACACGATTTGGCGCATTTACATATTTTAATTAAAACATAAATTTTGAGCTTTGGCCATCCGGGTGAATATCGGTTGCGTGCGAAAAGCCAGAGAGCATTTTAGAGAGCTGTGGCCCGATTGATTAGTGATGCCACAAAGTGGTCACCGTGATTCAATTTATAATTGTTTGGGCTTTTAGTTGTGAATGGATTGTGTGCTGTAAGTCACTTGTTCAACATCAATACACAGGAGCATTATTAAATTTGTTTGATATGTTAAAATAAAAGTTTTATTAAGTGCAAGCAATAATAAATAAAAGTACTTCTGAAAATTTTGTAAAGATATAACTGCTCTTAATTCATTTTAGTTAGAGGTAATGTTTCCCAAGTTATAAGTTACATTTATGTAAATGCCTTTTTAAAATTTTGTGCTTTGAAATGCTTTGAAGAGTCACTGTTTCAGATAAATTCTCTGATATTTCAGTCAGCTAAAGTTCAATCACTGGCTATCTTGGGCGAACATATTTTGCATGCCTTTGGTTATTTTAATAAATATTTCAACAGGCACACGCACATCACTACCCCGAGAAGCACATGGGTAGCGCATAGTTTACTATCTACTAAATATTTAAACGCAGCGTCAGATCGTAAAAGCAAAATGTATGCAAAGTGCATGTCGAGCAGCCATCGAGGTGAGCTGTAAAAAACCAAGGCAGGAAACGGCAGAAAATAAGAAAAAAAAAACGTTAGAAAAAGGTAAAACTGAAAATAAATAAAAGCAGACGAGCCAAGGAGTCATGGCGAAAAGCTACAATATTGAATAAAGTTAGTACCCGGCGGTATGTTTCGCCTCATCGTGTACACTGTGTATATAGCTTCTATGTTCCTTATTTTTACCTCTCTCTTATACTTTATATTGGTGCATATAATATGCACGCAAAAATGTGGGGCATATACGATATTTAAGGCTATGAACAAACTTTCCCACAAAAAAAGGTATCACTTCTTACTTTAATAAAATTTTCTTTTTTTGAGATTTTATTTTATCTTATACTTTATATTAAAAATGTATAATTTTTTATATTGTAATGTTTAAGTGCTTAAAATATCACATAAAAATACGTACTTTTTTATATATATTAAACCTCATGCCGTGCTCTTTCCTCTTGAATATAACTTTCGTAGTTCCGGCCCCTGAATT